GAACCTCGTGCGTTGCTGTGTTTGCCGGGCCGCCGTGCCTGCCGACGACACTTTTCTGAGATGAAGGCGGTAAGCTCGATGGGGTTTTGGCAGCATCAGGAGAGGGGGACTTGTTGGTTTTTCCCCCAGCCTTAAACAACATCGCCCTGTTCGCGTTGGCGAATTCGGTTTGGGCATTTTCGAGGTAGTGTTTATAACTAGGCTTCTCCGTGATGCTTCTCACCTGACTCATGGTGAGTCCCGTCGCAGCTATCATTTTGTCCAAAAATTTGCCACGATACTTCCCGTCCTTCGCGTACTCCACCTTTATCTTATCTAGAATGGTGTAAAGCTCTGGACCCGAGAGAGGAGATTTAAGCTTTTCCAGCTGTCTCAGGTATTCTGTTGGGTGCGCACGTTTGCCATGTTGCCTCGTCGACTTGTACGACGGCCAGCTCAAAGTACAGTAGTTGCACTTGGTCCTGTCCCCTGTGCATAACCTTCGCGACACGTAGACACGCAATAGCGCCTCGCTCTCGAACTCTTCATCGCAGCGCGTGCATACCACTGATGCCTTTTTGGGTGGGCTGACCACCGCTTTTGAAAGCCGGTATATTGAGTGAGTGCCCACGGTCGGCCCTTCCCTTTTCTACCTCCCCCATGGTGTTAGGGGGAGGTAGAATCTCTCTCTTTTTGGCTGCAGGTTTAAGGACCTGCTGGCGAATGATCTTGATGCCAGCCTTATCTGCCTGCAAGCCCTTATGCTCTTTTTCCTTATCAGCCCTTTTCATGGTGATATTGTGGTATTTGGTAATGCGACTTTAGGAAGAGTGAAGCTCGGGATTAAGGATGGGACGGTGGTGTAGGTATAGAGTCGTTGGCCGCGATGAGACTGATGGCAGGGCTCATGCGCCGTTGGGAAGCTAGTCACTTATAAAACTCGACGTTGCGCTTCCGCTATCGGTCACCGGCGTTAGCCGGTTCCAAGACTGATTGCTCACCGTCGTTGTCCGCCCTTTACCGCGTGGAGGTCGACTCTTCGACTTCCGGGAGAGGATGGGTACATTTTTGCTCCTTGCCGGACGATCTTATTTGCATTTAGAAAAAGTAAGGGGATTTGAAAAATTTTGCATAAAAAAGACCAACTGCCCATGTAATTATGAACCGCTGGTCAATGCTTTCTGGTTTCGCAGTTACTTCGGGAGGTTTATACACAAAGACAAACAAACAATGCACATAGGACATGAAGTCTAGGGCGAAAGATTTATTCGCTTTGAAGGGAGTCCACAAATGCTATTTAGGAGATTATTCCACTCATGTGTTAGAAATCCCATAAGACAAGTGACGATTTTTAGAATTACAGCGAAAATTCTCTTTTCCATTTGTTTAACTAGATAGAATTACAGCGATAATTCTCCCATGTTATTGTATACATGGTTTTTTCATGCTAATTTTTGATACAAACAAACGGTTCCTGATAGCAACCATTTATTTGTATTGATTGTTAAGATGTTCAAATCGTTTAATACATATTTATTTCCATATTTTCTGCATTCTCATACGTGAAATAATCCTTTAAATACCATTTGAGCTTTAAAATGAACCAGATAATTTTTCACTCATGCGTGTTTTCTCTGCAAATTTCACTCGTCTTACGGACCACTGGCGCCGACTACATGGGGGCATCGGGGCAGGTGCACCCATGAGCAGGCTCTCATGGGTGCGGAGCACCCATGAGAGCTCTCGTGGGAAATGCGGAAGTATACATGCGTGTTTAATAGTCATTCCAACGGTGGTTCAGCTATAAATACTTGGTATTTGGCTAACTTTTTACTTACTTTTTTATTTTGTTTTCTTCTACTTACACCTATTTCTTTGACTGTAGATACAGTGTGTCCTATTTTGGTTGTACATAAGGGATATCTCAGTTGCTATTGGAGTTAGAAGGATGCGGTTTTCGCTCGGGTTTTCGGGAACGTTAGCTACTTTTCTGTCAAATGAAAGATGCCGTCAACAAAATTGTCCTCGCCCTTTTCGTTCTTCAGATACAAGGTGCTTTTGGATCTCGGCTTTCTCATAAGTGATCGAAAACGTGACAACGGGTTCCTATAGATATTTTTCCGTAGATTCCAGAAGCGTTGTCAATTTTTCTTTAAAAGTGATAGTTTTCAAATTATGAACCAAACATACGTTATTTCAAATGAGACACCCTACATATTATAAACTCATTGAATAGCTTTGCTTTTGCTGATTTCAATGATATAAAATTCAATGGGTTTATCTCTGACAGTTTTCATTGAAGTCAGCAGAAGCAGAACTATCCAATGAGCTATTAATACACGGTGGCTCTATGAGAAGCCGTTGTCCATTTTCGATCACTTCATAAGAGAACCGAGATACAAGAGGTGTCCCAAATGCAACTTTTTCAAAAACACCTTGTATCTGAAAAACGAAAAGGGTGTAGTATAACATACCCCGGGTTCGTTCGGTAAGATTGAACGATGAGAATTTTTATTACCTTTAAACAACAAATCTTCTGAAAAACGAAATGAAGAAAAAAATAGGACCTACGTTGTGGAAACTTACCCAATTTTACTTACTGGACATGCGCCCGACAGCAAATATTTGGGAAATTTAAGGAAAGTTGTGATATGTAAAAGAAACGAAAAATTTGTGAAACGTCTACTTTATTATTAAAGTGAATCGTACCGTTCTCGACCTAGAATTCTCGAGGAGAAAGAGAACGGCAGAGAAACCCTCGATCTAACATTCCTCAAAAAATCGAAACATACTGTGTCATTTTAATAATAATTTTAAGTCAATAATTCAATAATTTAAGTCAATAAAAGTTTAAATTAGGTACCGTCTTTGGTCTTTGTGCTGAAATTTTAATTACACACTCAACATTCAATCAACACTACCTATATTCAATACTGAAGAGTTTTTTTGTTAGTTAGCCGGTTTCCCAGCGGATACTGAGGTCCCATACGGGAAGCTACTAGGCTATAGTTGTTTTTGAGCCAATATCTCTAGATTGATTATTTAAATTTGTTACGTTATTCTCTCGTCAGGGTAGGAAAATGTTAGTAAATTCAACAAGGCCCTAATACACGCTCTAAATCCACAAAATCAAAATCCCAGTACAAAAAGACAGCACATAATTTCTTAGGTTTTAATTTACTTCTTTATCTGTGCTGTTTACAGTATGAAACGATTTTTATTAAATACATGAACAATGCACATGTTATAAACAATACTCTTAAACATAAAAAAGAACAAAATAATAGGAACTTTCATAAATTGAACTCTCAAAAACAAAATAACATTTAATCCACTAACCTGTGAACGCTCCTTACACACACACTAACAAATTGGATTGAACAATCAATTTTAATGCAAAATAGAAATGAAAATTGAATAATGAATAATTACAGACACGCGTCTAAAAAGAACCAGCCAAGTTTCTTCTGTAGTCTAGTTGCGTATTCCCTTCTACCTTCCGCTTTTTCTGTGGTGCCTCTAGGTTCATCCCTACTTGACGGCGTATTACATGGTTGCAACATTTATTTTTATTCAGTAAACGTTTTTTTTTTAAGTTAAGATTTGAAGAAATTATATTTTAGATAGGTGGTTTTCCTCAAGGGCGATGACAATTTTGTTGACGGCATCTACATAAAAGTAGCCAACGTTCGCGTAAAAACCGTATCCTTCTAACTCCAATAGCAACTGAGATATCCCTTATGTATGTACAACCAAAATGGGATACTGTGTTTATATAAATGAAAATAAATACATTATTAAATGTTTGTTTGAAATTTATACTACATCTCCAGGTATACTGGGGGGATAAAATCGAATACAAAAATTGAACGAGGGTTGCTCTAGTGCTGCCCGAATTTAGCAATCGGAAACACTATAAAATAGACGTTTTTGGGCGTGGCATCCGGAAAAAAAATTTCGCCCACCCCTTCCCCCTATAAACAAATTTCTAAAGTCATTTATTATTAAGCTGCACCCATGAGGATTTTCAAAAGTCGGTGCCACTGCTACGGACTCGTGAAATTATAGAAAACACGCAATCGTGAAAAATTATCGGTAATTTTGAAGCTCTCGTGGTATTATCCCCGAATATTTCCTGAAATTAGACCTGCCGGCAAAATTATCGGTATCTGCCGGGCACTTATCAGTACCTGCCGGGCACTTATCAGTACCTGCCGGGCACTTATCAGTACCTGCCGGGCACTTATCAGTACCTGCCGGGCACTTATCAGTTCTTGCCGGGCAATTATTGCTGTAAATTTTCGATAATTGCATTCCTCTTATGGGATTTATTATACATGAGGGACATATTCCAATGTAATATCACAAGAGGTTTCAGGATTACCGGATAATACTTTTACCTATCACGAAACGGGTTACGCAGCATTACCACGACTTCGAAGGAAGAGCGAAAGCAAAACAGCTGGTAACGCGTTGAGTGTCAGGTAAAAGTATTAGATAATCCTGAAACATCGAGTGGTATTCAAAAGGTTATACAACGAACTAAACTTTAATACTTTAAAATTTAAAAAAAAATCTATAATAGAATTTGCTATAAATGCCACCAAGCGCGATAATCCCAAAAGGCTTATCACTTGTTAAGCCGCTCGTGTCATATGGTAATAATGTACAGTGAGTTGTATAATCGAATGTAATACCGCAAGAGGTTTCAGGATTACCGGATAATACTTTTACCTGTCACGAAACGCGTTGAGTGTCAGGTAAAAGTATTAGGTAATCATGAAACATCGAGTGGTATTCAAAAGGTTATACAACGAACTAAACTTTGATACTTTAAAATTTTAAAAAAATTCTATACTTAATAGAATTTGCTATAAATGCCACCAAGCGCGATAATCCCAAAAGGCTTATCACTTCTTAAGCCGCTCGTGTCATATGGTAATAATGTACAGTGAGTTGTATAATCGAATGTAATGCCACAAGAGGTTTCAGGATTACGGGATAATACTTTTACCTGTCACGAAACGCGTTACGCAGCAACACCATGACTCCGAAGGAGGAGTGGTGTTGCTGGTAAGCGCGACCATCCCAAAAGGCTTATCACTTTTTAAGCCTCTCGTGTCATATGAGAATAATGTATAGTGAGTTGTATAATCGCTATAAGTTTTCGATAATTGCATTTCTCTTTTGGGATTTTTTATACATCAGGGAAATATTCACTTGGATTGTTTTTGAAACTTTAAAGATCATAATGCACATTGTAGTGGAAACTTTTTTCCATTTTCGTTTTGTGTCTGATCAGGATTTGAGGAAAAATCAATATTCCTGAGCTATTGCAGTGTCAACCCCTCAAATAATGTTTTTGCCTAAAGGGCAAATAATGAATTTCTGCAGGATTGAATCAAGACAAAACGTGCAAAACGACTAACCATTTCAATAAGATTTTTTCCATAAACTTATGTTTTTTATGTAAGGTTTCATGGAAGAGAAGCATTGCATTATCTTTGCAACATTACTTAATATTTGAACCCAAACTACCCCAACTTTGCAAAAACTGTAACTACATTTTCAACTGTCTATGCATTGAATACCAACCTGCAGTTGAAGGCATACTGAAACTATATAATTTCCAAAATCAGACTTTTCTTACTATAAAAAAATACATTATTTGGCAGCAAAGATTTCTGCATTCTTCATAGTATGGCTTCGCCAAAAATTTTTTTCACCAAAGTAAGCAGTCTTTTGCAAAATTGGGAATTTGCAAGGTAAAATTAATACATGAAGGACACCTTGTGCAGAACCCACAGGATGTTGCCAACTTGCTAAACCAATACTTTCCTGGAATTACTGCAGAACTAGCAAAAAACATCCCCCCAACAATGTTTTCCCCTCAAAATCACCTGGGACTGACAACTTGGGCATTGATACAATAAAGGAATTAAAAAATGAAATATCATCTGGTACTTCATGTAGGTTGATAAATATTGTTTTTTATACCACATCTGTACCAAGTCTGTTTAAAATGACAAAGGTTGTCCCTTTGTTTAAGGGTGGTGATAGCACATAACTAAAAAGCTACAGGCCCATTTCCCTGCCCCCAGCCATGTCTAAGGTATTGGAGACCTGTGTAAATATGAGATCAACCAGTTATTTGGATGGAATAAATTTTTGGTATGCGGGTGGGTCAATATGGATTCAGAAAACACAGCAATACCTCCTCAGCAACTACAGACCTAATTACAAATATTTATGAAAAGGTTGATAAGAGGTAAAAGTGTGTACTTGTCTCGCTGGACGGCTGGAGAAGCTTTTGATACAGTAAATCACAAAATTCTCGTGGAGGTGCCTGAAAAAACTGGTATTGGAGGTTCAGCAATACTGTGGTTTAGGGATTTCTTTGTCGATTCAAAACTTACTTGGGATATACACATCTTGCAAAAAGATTACACCAGCAATTGGAGTACTTGGTCGAATATTGAACTATCTGTCCATTACGCATCGTAAGATGATATACAATTCCCTTATCCATTTTCACATAAGTCACATATCATATCTAACTTTGCTATGGGGCAATGCTTCACTTAAACTATTTCCATTATCAGAAAAAAATTGTTTAAGCAGCCATTTCTGTTTCCAACAAAAAACATAATTTCCATATGGCATCGCTGTATATCTTGCAAACATGCATCTTTATCCATTCTTGCAATACTTCCAATATTCACTCTATAATAAGAATAAATCTCATCCTAGCCAACACAATCCATCTACACAATACCAGACTCAATGAAAACTTGAGAACGTTGGCAATGAACACTACAACTCAGAAGGACTGAGGTATTACAATCGAATCCCAGAATCTGTTAAAAGATTGAACATAACTTGTTTCAAGTGTAAGCTGAAGCAGCTGATCTTCGATGGATACTTTGGGGCTGTACAATGAAAGGCTTTATCTGCAATTTAGAACTAATATATTCATAAATGCAACAACTTTCTGATACAGTACCTACTTGTACTGAATATTTTCTCTTGTGTGAGTATAATGTATAATAATACGGTAATATATTGTAATAATGTTATAATGATACTGAATGACCCGCATAGCTCAGGGTCTCTAGTTCAGGTACATACATCTATTGTTTAACTTATCATGTTGAAATAAAGGAAAAAAAAGCTATTTTGCAATTTTAAAAAAGACTCTAGAGGACATGTTCAACATAGGTCTGCTTTGTCTTATTTTTTTATTCAAGGGATCAGTTGTTGAAATAAACTCTTTTTTTTTTCAAGGGTTCAATATTTTCTATTTTTAATGGGTAAAAACCTGGTACTTCTATCGCAACCAGAGTCGCAGCACTTTGAACTTTTACGTTTTTTTTTGCCCCACCTGGTATTGTATATTTTGCACTTGGTAAATGTATAAGTTTTTCACTGTTTTAATCAAATATAAGGTCTGTTTCTGCAGAAATCACAAACCAGTCGGAGCGAATTTCATTGGTTGAAAACAGTCAGTAGATTCAGCCAATGAAATTCACTCTGACTAATTTGTGATTTCTGCAGAAACAGACCTATAATTAGCAATAATAGCTGGTAAGATTTAATGGGTATATTACCATGACAAATTGGGTTTTTGTTTTAAGCATAGTTTGCAGTAGTTGAAAATCGATATTGCTAGATCTATTTAAAGAAATGTATGATAGTTATTTACATTACAAGTGCGTTTATGAACATGATTACAATAACGAGTGCGAAAGATTAGAACGACGAGGTCGTAGACCGAGTCGTTCTAATCACACGAGTTTTGTAGTCACGTTTAAACGCACGTGTGATTTACAACGTTTTATCTACAAAGTGAAAAATAATAATGTTTATGTCCGATTGACCAATAAAGTGCTATTTATAGAACAGTTTTGCGTCAATAAAGTAGCACTTTATTTTACTGTAAAATAAAGTGCTACTTTATTTTACTAGTAAAATAAATAAAGTGCTACTTTATTGCCTACCTGGACTATCTGACAACCTGCCAAATGGAAACAGGTATATTCAAATTTGATCTTTTTTATTGAATTTTTTTAATTTTTGATAAAAATCAGTCGCAATCGTACATGAAATCATGTATATAAAGCTTACATAAACAGGCTTTATCGACTCATCATTTAATAGCCTTGCTTGGCCATAAAATTATTCATACTGTAAAGCCTTACTTTATGTACTTGTTATATAAATAGCTATTTTTCAATCATTTTCGTGTATTAAGGCCGAAACCCACTAGCAACATGCCACGCCACCCCACGCCATGTGACACAGGTTCACGTGGGACAGTTTGTGTGCAAATGGACAGAAGCATGACGTGGCGTGTTGCTAGTTTTGGCCTTCAGTCGTTGTCTACTATCATTTTACCTTTACACGTTTAACTTTGACATTTGTCAAATCACCAAAAATACCCCTCGTTTTTATTCTCATCGGTGACTTCACCGATGAGTTAGCTATCTTTGTTTAGTGAATGGAAAATGACAATGATGGCCATAGAATGGTGGATCCATCGATAAAATTTGATGAGAATAAAAACGCAGGGAACGTTGTGTTATGAATTCATAACCTAGTCCATAACGCCACTGTTCTGTTATGAGTCTCATGGCGTTTCCGATTGGTAGATCTAGTGCAGAACTAGTGCAATTTTCTCTATTTCCGTCTTTTTCTTCTACAGGTCGATTAAAAGGATGCAAATACACTCAGTGCGCACTAAATCTACCAATCGGAAACGCCATCAGTCTCATGACATAACTCAAATACTCAAAAAATGGTTACATATGTAAAAACGTCATAACCAAACGCTTGTAGATAAAGTATCTTATATGAGTACTGAATACTGGAACAAATTGTGAAATAGTTGTTCAGCAACATTAAATTGAAAGGGGTTCCAAAATAAGGATTTTCAAAACAAAATTGTTCTGGTGCTCAGCAACTTATTCAATTCTCCCTTTTTTGTACATACATTATACTACATAGAGACTGATAATATTTAAATAACCATAAATACCTTAACTTTTTTTGTGCAAACTTGCAGTATAGGTATCAGAATTTGAATGTTTTCTCTTCTTTAAAGCACAACAAATCTGATATTTTTAAATTGAAAATTGTTAATTGTATCAAGATAGTTTTATTACATTTACCAATACCATTATATTATCAATGTGTTATTTTGAAGAAGTGTGTCTAATTTATCCTACCCTTGATCGTATCCAATAAAGAACTCTTCAAGAAATTTTTAATTTTTCTAAGAGGAAATCACAAAATTAAATTACATACTTATATGTCTATAGTCATCAAATACAAAACTTGTACTTATTTAATATTATTGTTTAGGCATTTTGTTCTTTTGGAACAATTTCTGTTGTCCACCTCCTTGGGGTTTATTAGGCCTGTTTCCGAAGTTACCTATAATTAAAATTAAAATTACAAAAGATTACAAAATCAAACAAAATCTACCTCTTGCCGCAGGCCTATTCCTTTGATTCTGTCCACCGCGGCCACCCTTCTGATCTCTCATTTGTTTGTTCTTAACGAGGGTCTCTTCCTTAACCATATCAATAACTTCGTCAGGAATTCTGAGGTACTTTATAGTGCTGCCTCTGATGTAGCACTCTGGCATCCTCCAAAACTTGTCACCATCTCGAGAAGTACAGATCACCTCTCTGAGATTGATGTTCATCCAATTGTCGCAGCTGACCAAGTGGCCGTTGTAGGTTTCGCCGTTTTTTAATTCAACAAGCTAAAATTTATTATTCATAACGACTAATGGGAGAAGAAAACTTAAGATCTTACCATGGGATGGTTTTGGGCTGTTCTAAGTAGCGAAAGCGGTAGCTAAAAAGTGGCAGAGATGCGAAAATGTATTTTTACATTATGAAAGAATTCAAATTACTTACCATCTTGTTTCAGGTAAAAACACTTTTAGAATAAAATAATTTAAGCGTTTAAAAAAGTATTGTTTACTTAAACCTCAATACTCCGTTCGGTTTCTGTTTTCTTTCTATTTTAATTATTTTAACCTCATAGTCATTCCTCAACTCAGCAGCGTTGCCAACTTAGCGGATTTCCCGTCATATCTAACGGATTTTGATGGAGGGAAACAGAAAACAAACATTTTCAACGTATGACGGATTTTTTAACGGGAACAAAGTTTCCGTTTAAAAATTCTAAATTATGTTCTGTAAATGTATTGAACTAGTTGTTTAGCGATTCAAGCTACTTTTGGTCTGTAAACAAGCCTTTAACGGAAACGTTGATCCGACTAGCCCGATCACCAGCTGATATTATCTGTCTTTCTTCGATGGTGTTCACTGAAAAAAGATAAAATACAAACACTGAGGCGTTTTCTAGCGTTCACTTTTTTGAAACTGGTTCAAAACTGTTTTAAAACAGTACATTCTCGCGATAAACCCATGACATCTCGTCAAAATTGGTTCAAATTGTTTCGAAATGCAATCTAATCCACATTTTCAAACCATTTTCTCACGCCGAGAAATTATGACGTCATGGTGACATTACTTAAACCAGTTTTGAAAAATGTTTTGAAACATTTGATACGCGAGAAAATTACTCTGTGATCGGGTGAAACGGATCAGTGTTTTTAAAAACGCCTAAAATCAAATAGCACTATCGTCAATGTCGTTAACTCTGCATTATTTGGTTGGCACTACTGAATAAATTTTATTTGTTTAGCGCATTTCACCATGTGACACTCAAGATGGCGTGGCCGCAACACATGGGCCAAAAAACACAAAAAAATATCTAGTTTCTGCCGATTTAATAGTTTAGGTAGGTACCTAGTCAACAAATATTTTATTAAAATAATCAAAATCAAAGTTGCAAGCAAAACTCTTGCAAAATAATTTAAAATACGCATAAAAATATATTCGAAACAAACTTGCTTGACCGCCACGCCATATTGAATTTTCCTCTTTGACAGATGGATTAGTTCTTTTCACGTGGCTCCGGTTTAACTAGCCGGGTTACAAAACGGTTAGAGAAATCACATACCGTTTCGTTTTCTAACCTGGGCCCTTATTCTTGACTTTCTCTCGAGAAAATTTGACTGTGTTGATAGTTAAACAAACAGTGCATTAACTGTTAACAATGTCATATTTTCTACCTAGGTTAGGTAAAGTCAAGAATAAAGCTTCTGGTTACAGAGTGACATGATGGATACCTACCACTCGAATTTGAGCGGTATGTTGCGGTTTGTTAAACCGGAGCCACGTGAAAAGGGTTGATGCTTAAAGTAGGGTGCGTTCCAGTGACACAACAGTCGTTTGGAGCACCAGAGTGTGAAGCTCTTAAAATTCGTCACTGGAAAGCGGCTATGGAACGCTTTTCCAATCGCAGACCGGGAATTCTAAAATCACGATTCGACACACGACTCAACAACGAGACGATTTTCCCGACGATCCTAGGTTGGAATCTCATTGATTGGAATCCGCCCTTTCTAAGCGACAGGGACGGTATCGAGTTGCCTCTCGAATCGTGAATTTAAAATCCTCCTGCAGAATTGCCGCCGATTGCCTCGGTAACCTCGGTTTGATATTAGGCAATCCAATAACCCTTTTCACGTGGCTCCGGTTTAACAAACCGCAAAATACCGCTCAAATTCGAGTGGTAGGTATCCACACGTCACTCTGTAACCGGGTTAGAAAACGAAACGGTATGTGATTCTCTAACCGTTGTGTAACCCGGTTAGTTAAACCGGAGCCACGTGAAAAAAACTAAACCGTTTTCACGTGGCTCCGGTTCAACAAACCGCAACATAGGTACCGCTCAAATTCGAGTGGTATTGATCTCGTCACTTTGTAACCCGGTTAGAAAACGGAATTACATTTATCTAACCAGCTTGGCAATATTGGTTCACTTATCGGTTACGTTTAACGGTTAGAACAACAACAATAGAAAATTTGCAAACAACAGAGAGCGGGAAAATTATGACAGGTGTAAATTGAAATAATTAACTGATATTAAGGCTATGGTCCGAATATAACCAAATGTTAACCAGAGTAACCGATCCTGTTGACAGATGGTTACTGAAAATTCCGGTTATAGGCAGTGATGTGCCTGTAGACAATGTCAACGTAAACAATTGATTGTCTACGCGTAGACAATTCGAATTGTCTACGTGAGCATTTGTCTACACATTGTCTACATGCGGCGTCGGCGTAAACAATAACTTATTTTAAAAAAATCGAAAAAAAATATCAAAAGTTACTATACTATCACTATTACTTCGATATTAGCATTCACTGATTATAAAGTATCAGAAAAACCAATAATAAAATAAAAATCATTAAAAAAAAGGAAAGTGTGAGGTTAGAATTAAACGTCATTTATATTATTTTACATTGTTGACACGTTGTCTACATTGTCTACATTATCTACACGTAAAGTAGACAATGAAAGTCTACGTGTAGACGCACATCCCTGGTTATAGGAGGGAACGCGAATATGAAATAAAAAATAGTTGACAGGATTTACAGATAAAACCAACAGAACCGACATCAGATAGTCGGTACCATCGTCACCAAAAGTAACTGGGACAGCATCACATTAACTCTTGTCCTATTATATGAATTTTATTGTCAAATATTTGTCAAACTATGCATTAAATGCATTGAAATGAATGACAGTAAAATTAGTCCAGATTATATGTTATTATGCATTATTTGTGTCCCAGATATTTTTGGTGACGATGGTACCTAACTATTTTGACATTTGGTTAACCAGATTTCAGGAAACCAAGGTCCAAAAGTAACCACTTCTCCAGGTACCAGAGTAATTTGATCACTTTCGGATCGCGAAACCACAACCCTGGTTATATTCGGACCACAGCCTAAGTTGCAGTTTTTTGGTGCAGTTACTAGAAGCTAAATCAACCTATTATAAATATTTGACAGGTAGTTGGATTGGTTAAATTTTAAAATAACATTTTTTTAACCGTTCGTTTTCAAGTGGCATTTTCAATAATGTCATCACTTGACATACCGCTACTAACTGTTCTGTAACCCGGTTAGTTTAAACCGGAGCCACGTGAAAAGGACTACAGAACTATTTTTATTACCTGGCGCCATCTTTTATCAGTTTTTCGGATTTAATTTAGGGCGGGTATTATAAAACTGCTTTGACAGTTAACTTAAAGTTAACTTTTTGAATTAAATGTAATTCCAGAAGTTAACTTCAAGTTAACTCTCAAAGTAGTTTTATAATACCCGCCCTTAGTATAGTCTAGTTGAGCGAAATCCAGTGTTGCCAGGTGTGACGCATTTGCGCCAAAGCGGCGCTTTCGAAATTGGAATGGCGCCTTAAGTTTTGGAAAATGCGCCAGGCGCTCACAAGTGGCGCTTTAAAATCGTGGCCTTTACAGTGACTCAATAAACCACAGTTGCGACAATTGCCACCCTATTTTGGATTGGTTCTTTAAAATCCCATATATTTACATTGAAAATAAGCAAGAATATGGCGGCGGAGGCGTGGTTTACCTCTAGATTCCTATTTAAAATGAGCAAGAATGTGGCGAGACCTTTAGGCTTTAAGGCCAAATTTACATTCGTTCCTTGAGTCTTCCTTGGAGGTCGTGAGTTTAAAATGGACACATGGACATTTGCTACAATCTTTAGAAATATATGGGAAGTTTCACACCGGAGTGCCGTCGCAAAAATGCGGCGTGACAACATGCGTCGTATATTTAGATAGTTTGCGTGCTTCCTACTCAAATCGAACGTCACATGCTACTTTGGTGTGAATACCCACTTAAGGTCTAAGAAAACTTCAAAAAGCGACTATAAATTCGGCCCTCAGGGCCGCCCAATGCCGCCATTGTTGGTAAAAAAGGTTTATTGAGTCACTGTAATTAGTAGTTTTGTTTCATTAGTTTTTATGGTTAAAATCAATATAACTGCCTTTGCTTGGCTAATAAATAACCGATTTTTAAAGCTCCGACAACCTTTCACTCTTAGGGCGAATTCTCATGAGCGTAAGTTGACATTTCTGGCGTAATCACGTGATAATATGGTGTAATTTGATTAGTAAAATATCTAACATGGCGAATACTTAACGAATAAAACCCAACCATTTTATCACGTGATTACGCCAGAAATGCAACTTACGCTCATGAGAATTCGCCCTTATAGCGCTTTGTTGGCGCATTTTGATGTTAAGGGCGGGTATTATAAAACTACTTTGAGAGTTAACTTAAAGTTAACTTCTGGAATTACATGTAATTCATAAAGTTAACTTCAAGTTAACTGTCAAAGCAGTTTTATAATACCCGCCCTAAAACTGGCGCATGAAAGTTGAGAATACCTGGCAACACTGGCGAAATCATAGATTATTTTAGACGATAAAATACCAAAAACTACAACTATGGTTATTAAACAGAAAAAAAATTTAAAAAGTACTATAGAAGTAAAGACAATTTTTCAGTCCTCATTGAATGTATATGCCTGACAATAAATGCACCAACTTATTAATAATTTGGAATATTTAATGTTTGTACACTCACTACAAAATTTCATAAATTTCAATTTTTTTTCCTCACAGTATAGTATATCTATATTTCGCTGTTGTTTTCTCAAGTGGTTACGAGATTGCCATTTCATCCTCGTTTTTTTACCGGTATTTTCTTCAATTTTTTACCAAATTAAAGGTTAGGATAAAAGGTAGGTACCTTCTATCTATCATACATGAATTAAAATCCTAACTTAGGCTAGAAAAAAGAAATTTTAGAAAGGGTCTATCTAATCCTTATCTTGGTTCGCTTATTTTCTTCTTCTTCCTCTTCTAATAAAAAAGAGAAATTTTCTTTCGCTAATTCGAATAATCGAACCTCCTCTTCTGTTGTTTGTGGAAGTTTAGTATATTTTATTGGCAAGTTTCCGAATTTTTTGTTCAACGTTTCTTTTCGTGGGGTATATGATAATTTAACATATATGCTTGATCCCCTAATGGATATATTTGGATTCCCATACCTATGCACAGTGGAAAAAGATTCAATATAATGAAATTTTTTTAAAAAAAAATCAACAAAAGCAAATCTTACCTGAAACCAGGGCCCCGCTACCATAAGGCTGTTACACACGGACGTGGATGGCTTGATACATATACGTGCATACATCAACGTGCAAACAACAACGTGAATGACGCTTTTGTACAGACGCTCGCACAAAACTGCAGTCTTGCTATTCTTGCTACGGTGTTCCGAGTGTGCATACAAAATTGCACATTCAAAAACGCGACGATATTTTGTATACAGTAAGGGGCAGGCTACTAGGTATATAAGATCCAAATTGACGAATTTACCACCGTCCACAGCCATTTGAACCCCTGTCACTGTCATTCGTTCAACAACTTTGACGTTTGTTTACTTCAGTACGATTTAGATACAGACTTAAGCACGGTCCAGACGCTACGGTTCAGCTTACTGATCAAAACGTTTTGTCTGCAACGTGTTTAACTGTATGCAGACAAAACGTTGTGCAAAACGTAGCGTCTGCGCCATGCTTTCAGATATCTCGTCAAGCTTTATTTATTTATAATTAAGTTTACGTGTAGATAGCTAAGCGTTGGTTATCAATGTAGACACTAGACACTTTAAGCAAACCCTAAATTTTCCTACGTATCCGTATCCGCTTCTGTAAACGCATCGACTTACGTTGACCGCCTAAAATTCCTTTCATGGTCATACATTACGTAAACGATCGTATCCTTGGATGAAACGTTTTCTAACCACAAAAAGTTTTGTTTTGATTTTGTAGCTGTGTTTGTAGGTTTTATTTTTATCTATAGGTACCGTGTTTATGTTGTTGAAGTTATTTTAGTAATAACTGACAGGTAGATCCCTCAATAGTGTCAAATGATTGAGATACGTTTTCGGATACAGATACGAGGCTAGGCCCGTAACGATACGGACAACGCAACGCAACGAGACCACCGTATTTACTATCTATCCTGTGTTAGATACGTTTGTAATTCAGGACCTGCTTAAAGTGTCCACTTGCTTATCCTGAATTTTTATATGTATCCGTCTCCGCATCGATCTGCGCACGCACAGAATAGATAGGGTGGTTTCGTAGTCCGCATAGTTACGGGCCTAGTCTCGTATCCGAAAACGTATCTCAGCCATTGTGTCTTCAGCCTTAGTTTTTTTGAGTGACAGGTCTTTTCACGTTTTGTTTTAACCTGGTTGTAATGAGTTAAGGTTCATTCACATCCACTTAACTTAAGGTACGGAAAATTATAACTAACGTACGAAACTGAGAAGGTGTCTGTTAACAATGAAGTAAATTATCTTACATGACGTATGCGCACTTATAACCTGATGAACTGTCAGTCAAATTATATGCACAGAAATGGAAATTATTATTTATTGCACGGATTTTCTTAAGTTGGTTCAACTTTTCCGTGTGTCACGTTAATTTTCTTAATTTTTAAGTGGATGTAACAACTATGTGATCTTCAAGTTTTTTTTAATATTAATTTTCCGTACGTCAAGTTAAGTGGATGTAAATGACCCTTTAGCACTAAATATATTTGTCATTTTGCCACATGCGGACGCCTGCAAATTCGTCAAGTTATATCCTATATACCTAGTAGCCTGCCCCTCACTGTATACATTGATGTTTTTGTTTGCACGTTCATGTATTTGCGTACATGTTTTCAGACATCCACGTCCGTGTGTAACCGCCTATAAGCGCAAAGGCGTGTGGCGCACGCGGGCGGCATAGCCAAGGGGCGGCAAATCGCACGAGAAAAAAATTAATAATTTTTTTTTATAATTTATAATATTTATTAATTAAATTTTTCTTCCTAGTGCTCTAATTATTTTCCTTTATTCAAAGGCCATCAGGCACGTGATTCTCGAAACGCCAGGCGCTCGTCTGGGAACAAGTGCTCCTGTCCTTCTCAGGTTCCATGTAAAATCTTATATGAGTGACGAAGACTGGAAATTGATAGAACCCTGTAATGCTACAGGCCGCCTCTTAACTCTGTATAGTCTGGCAAGTGGTAACTTGGTAGAGACGAAAGGGGGAAGAAAAAAGGGGCGTAGCATAAAAATATTCAATGACACCTCAACTGACACCGCCTGATGACAGCCACGTCTTTGGGTTCAGTGGCACCGAAAACACCAGGGAAATAAACTAATAAAATTATTAGAAAAAAATTCTCTAGTTTCGCCAATAACCACGCCACTGCGTGCTGTCGTTCAGACTCTAACCAATAGAATCATGCCTCTGAATAATCACGCCTCTCTACATCTATTATTTCGCAATGTTGCCGGATTTGTTTTCTATTTCAAAATACTACCTATGCCCATATAGCAACAAAAAAAATGTCACTAACTTCCTAACTTGTTTATTATTGTTTACGTCAAGTTTGGCAAAGCAGCAAATTCTATTGGAGTTCGCCGTTTCGCTAGCTAGACAATACAGCCAATGGGCCAATTTTTCTGTAGGTTCTTGCAAAATTACTCTTGACTATTATTATTTATCTAGCTCAGAGTTTTTATTGAAAAACTATTTAAGATCTAGAATGTTACAAGAAAGGTTATATGGATTAGCAATTTTGTCTATAGAATGTAATCTCTTGGACAGTATTATAAATGTTGAAGATTTCTTGAAAGATTTTGCAGCATTAATAGTAGAAAAGTAAATTTTCTGTAATTTTTTTGGTGTTTATAAAGCAAAAAACATTTCGAATATAAAATAAACAATAAACTGTTTTAAAAGTAATGAGATGAACTGGGAGAGAACATAGATGAATGCGCAGCTGGGGGCGATAGTAACATTTTTACTGTATACGTACTGCCAAATTTCTACCTATTTGCCCCAACTGCCTGCGCCCTTCAGGTAAAACGAGACACGTCTGTTGACTCAATGCCACTCCAAAAATTTTTATTCTTTTTTTAATCGCCAACCCTAAGGTGCGATTTCATATTTTGGCGCCCCCTAGCTAGAACCAGTATTTCAATAGCGAGTCACCTCCGGGTTAGTTTAAACTCCAGGGTAAACGTATCCAGTTGCAATGTTTACCCCAGGGGCCTTATTCTGTAAAGAACGAACCGTTCGATTCGGTAGAATTTCTTCGATTGTGACGTCATTTTCGGCATTTTCGGAATAGCTTCCGCGCTAGCAAACCGAAAATGACGTCACAATCGAAGAAATTCTACCGAATCGAACGGGTTGTTCTTTACAGAATAAGGCCATACCTCACTATACGCCATCACGATTTTGCGCAAAGCCAAAAATTTGTGAGTAAAATCTGTTTTCTTTTTAAAGATAAAAGTCAAACTGACATTAAGTTGGCAATACAATGTAAAATTGTCAATGCTTTCAGTTCATGGAACAGACCTTACATTTCTGAAAGTAAGCTTATGGACTGAGCAAAAAAGTCGCAAAGATCTTACTTAAATGGGTATAGACATTTTTAATTATTCCGATGAAAATAACATCCCATCGAATAATATTGTGAAATTAGTACCTACAATATTATATTGTCCCGCTTTTGGAATATCAAGATCTCACTTTAAGTATGAGCATGGATATCGTGACGTCATACGCGGTCATAAGGGTGGATTTTCATGCATCCGTTTGTCCGACGAAATATGTCCGAAAAATCTTCTATTTTGACATATTTTTATACGATTATGTCAGAATAGAATGTTTTTCGGACATCTTTCGTCGGACAAACGGATGCATGAAAATCCACCCTAAGCCCTACGCAAAAGAGAACACTCTGAGAGCTAAAACGAACAGATACCGGAACGATCTTTTCGTTTCGAGCGCGCTCAGAGTTTACAGAGTATAAGGCCGAATTTTCATGCATCCGTTTTCCGACGAAATATATCCGAAAAATTTTCTATTTTGACATATTTTCATACGATTATGTCAGAATAGAATGTTTTTCGGACATCTTTCGTCGGAAAAACGGATGCATGTAAATTAGGCTTAAAGCCGAACTCAGCCAATAAGTTGTAGTCCTTTCACACCTAGGCGGAGCTCCGGAACAGCTCCGGGGTGTTACGCGCCTATTCCATTCAAAAAGTGATTGGTTGCACCTGAGTGCTCAAGCCCGACTCAAACCATTTAAAAATGCATGAAAGCCAGCGCATCTGTTCCTTTCAAATCGGGGTCGACTAACACTGGAGCGAGTAGCTCTAGTGTTTCAAGCTCTTGAGAGGAATACAACTTATGATGTTTGACCTTCACCGCCATATCGAATATATTTTGACAGGTCTTTGTTATTGTTTATGTTATTGTTGTTTGAAATGAAAAATATAGAGAGATTTTGAGTCACATAAATTTTGAAATACGTTATACGCTAAACGTTAAACTGAGCAAGCGCAGTCTCTGAAAAATAGCGGGTGACATTCAGCCTCTTTTAGTTTTTGAAGCCAAAACTTGTGAAGGACGTTATACGCTAAACGTTAATGAAAATTTGTGGTTAGGATTTTGATTTTGTGTAACTAGTTCAAATTTTATGTTGTCTATTGTTTATGTTAGCATCGTAGGTATTTATTTGTGTAATTGTGTACTGCACTTCATGGATAACATTGAAAATATAATAGGACGTCAAAATGCTGAAAAGATGTTAAAACGTTAACGGCTAATAACGTTCCGTTTATTTCCACATAATTAGCGTAGTACGTTACCGCTTATTAAGCGGACCGGTTATTTTTTACAAATAGGTGGCTCAAAATCTCTCTAAATGAATGGGTAACACATGGGTAAGCAAGCTCTTAGGCTATGTTCTAAGGTAAGCTCTCATCTCATCAATCATTTTCATTAATTAAAGGGTAGCTAGGGTTGCCAGACCCCCTATTTTTAATATTAGACTCATATATTTTAACTGTTTCTCATATCAGTCATATCTCATATTAGCATGTTTAATCTGGCGATAAAATGGATATTTCAAAATACAGACCCATTATCATCCAAAACACCTTCCCAAAGGTATTTGAGAGCATAGTGACAAAGTTTTTAACTCCAAAAATCAATCCCTGTCTAATTGAGCAGCAGACCGGTTTCCGTCCAAAATGCTCAACTGAAACCAATCTCCTGTCCTACCAGGACAAAGTTTCAAGAATTCTTGAGGATGGCGAATCAGTTCACTCCATATATACCGATTTTGCAAAGGCCTTTGACCGTGTCAACCATGCCGTTCTGCTTGCTAAGCTTGAAAGTGCTGGAATCTCCGGTACTTTGTTGAAGTGGATTAGCGACTATCTTGGGGAGAGAACTCAAATAATCAAAGTTAACAACTTCTTCTCACACGAAATTGACATCCCATCGGGCGTTCCACAGGGTTCTCACTTGGGACCTCTGCTGTTCAACGTTTTTATTAACGATATCAAGTCTTGTTTTATTAACAGTGAGTTCCTGTGCTTTGCGGATGATTTAAAGGTGTTCACCCGGGTCTCTTCTATTGAAGACTGTGCCAGACTACAATCTGACCTCGACAGACTCTCTGAGTGGTGCGCTTTGAGCGGCATGGAGCTCAATGCTTCCAAATGCAAAGCCATTGTTTTCTCCAAGGGTCGTAGCCCTCCACAATTCGCGTACCATATAAACAACATTCCGCTTGAAACTGTCTCACAACAACGAGATCTTGGTGTCATTTTTGACAGCAGTCTCAATTTTATCACCCATATTTCAGACATCACAACAAGGTCGTTAAAACTTGTAGGCTTCATTAAGAGGTGTTCGAGAGATTTTACAAGCATAGATTCTATCAGATACCTTTATTGCTCAATGGTGAGGCCCCTGATGGAGTACTGCTCCTCTGTCTGGTCACCAATGTATTCTAATCATATCAGAGCCCTAGAGCTAGTGCAGCGCAAATTCGTACGTTATTTAGCCTTCAAGGCAGGTATTCCTTCGCCTGAGAACTATGTGTATGACTATGACGACCTATACAGACGCTTCAATCTACAACCCTTGGCAGCTAGACGCAATCAAAGAGATTTATATACTTTTTACAAGGTACTGAACTCCATTAGTGATTCCGCATACCTACTGTCCAGAATAGGGCTTCACGTCCCAGCAAGGGACACCCGCTCTGCCATAACCTTCTCAGAAAGAAATCACCGTACAAACTATGGTTTCAATACATTCATCTCCAGAACTTCTCGATTAGGTAACACCCATGGTAGCCTGGATTTTTTTGGACCCATAAATAGCTTTAAAAGAGAGCTTAACTCTCTAATGTAATTCTCCTTGTTTGTTTGTGATGCCAAGTTCGATAGCTAAGAATTTCTAGTCATCTTGATCAGTCATTATTTATGTTTGTCCTCTATTTTCTTATACCTATAACTGATTTAATGTTTTACTGTTAATAATTTATATGTATTTTTATCCTGTTACTACGCCAAGTATTACTGGCCTATGTTTATTTAGTTGTAAGGTACTTAATGTTTCTTGTTGTTTTTTTTTTTAATGGGTCTTGCCCGTAAATAAATAAATAAATAAATAAATAAATAAATAAATATGAGACATTCTCATATAGGGTGAATATGCCTGTTCACCGACCTGCTCTAGATCTCGACTATTCAGCTATTTAGGGGCCAATAATAAATAGAATAACCGGCAAACCTTGCTATGGAATGTTGAATTAGTTTTCAATCACTTGGACCCATTCAAAATAGGCGGCATTACTGAAAAACATGTATCAGTTTTCCCGCGAAAAATCAGTAAAGTCTTGCTTGTTGTACGGATAACCCACGTGTAATCTAAATTTGTTGCAGTGCTTAGTGGCATCGTATCTGAAAATAGTGAATAACTTTTGTTTTATTTTAAGCTAATGGATGAAATATTTTCTTTAGGGTAGAGGAAGGGTTAAATGTTGAAATTACCATGAAGAAACTGCATTTAATGATTTTTCTCACGTTATTATTTGGTGGTCAAGAACCAGCTTTTAAAAATTGACGATTTTTGGTTTCCGACCGCCTTGGTCGAAAACAAAAATGAAGGAGCTATTACTTTTATTTGAAAAAATATGTTAAAGAAGGACTTTAAAAAATTTAATTTTTGTTTATTGTTTATAAATAGCCTTCAAGAACCTAAATTTTGGTTTGCGACCACCATTTTAAATTGAAAAATTATGAAAATGTTCTTTAGAAGAATTGCTCAAAATTGGTGGTTGAAAACCAAATTGATCTTAGTCTATTCTCGACCACCCTCCACCCTAGAAAATTGGCGGTCGAAAACCAGATCGATCTTTTTCTTTTATCAACCACCTTATAAAGATATATGAAGGAGTGACTTCTTATGTGACTTTTGAGCGGTCGAGAACCAACCCTAAAGAGGTCGAGAATTGTGACCGGTGGTCGTAAATAGGATAAAATGCACTTTTTCAACATTTATTCAATTTATTTACTAATTTGAAATAAAATATCAAAAAATGCAATTGTAAATCTATCTTAATACGTCAAAAATTTTAAAGAATATATTTCAGTTGAAATTTGACTTAATTTTCTGGCTCAAAATCAAATTTTCTGTTAACTGGTCGTAAACAGGCACATTCACCCTATTTTGATTTAAAAAAAAAAGAAACCATGTATATCACTACCATACACGTGATAAGCCGGAGTCTCATGCATCCGTTTTCCGACGTCCGATGTCCGAAAAACCTTCTAGATAATCTGGCAAAATCGTATAAAAATATGTCAAAATAGGAGGTTTTTCGGACATCGGAAAACGGATGCATGAGATTCCGGTTATAGGATGGAGTCTCATGCGATGCGTCCCATCCGGCCGTCCGATGGTACGATGCTACGATGGAGCTCCTATTGGCTGAAAAATTTCCTGCCACTTTTTATCCGAATATTTCCAACTTTTTTCCGACGTTGCCGAATAAATAATATTTTACTTTTGTCGCTTTTGTACATAATAAATAAAAATAAAAGTAAAAACAGAAAAAAAAGAAAATTATTTTGGGTCAGGGATTTGTTTAAACATCAAAAAACTCAAGGTGTTGTCCACAACTTGTTACAAGAAATGAGACTGACGGATCAGGAGGAGCATTTGACTACCTAAAAAAATGTCCAGCAATACAATCCAAAATCTGCTAAAAATCATGACTAAATGTTAAGATAGGAGCTTTTTCGGATTTAAGTATTTTGCAGTACATAAAATATTATCATATATTATTATCCAATCCCATATAATTTTTCACAGGCTCTCCTATTTTCAAAACTCAGGTATCTGGCAACCCTAAGGGTAGCAGCAAGAATCGGGTAGCAGTAGGCGTATTGCAATAATTATATGATACCCAATGCAAACCATTTTTTAGCTTAAAATATACATGAAAACCTGAAAAATGTCTGAAGTTGAGTCTAAGGACGAAAGCGAAAGACTGGTCGGAGTTGAATATGAAGAGACACCAGCACTAGAGGTGGAAGATCCTGATTGTGAGTCTGGGCATGATGGAGAAGAGACGGTTGTAGACTTGGGGTTTAGTGTAGGAGAACGATTTTCCAGTTTCGGAGAATTCGATAAGATATTCCTAAAAGCATTTCAAGCCCGTCATGTTTGTTTTTATAAAAGCCAGATTGAAACCATTCAATCTGCACAGCGTAGACTTTTCAAGCATAATAAGTCATTGGTCAATTACAGCTTTAAACCAGAGTTGAAATATTACTATTTGAGATATAAATGCCTTTTCTCAGGTAGATTTAAATCCCAAGGAACTGGGTAAGTTAATTGTTTGAAATATGAATCAATATGTATAGCTTTCTTCGCGGAGAGATCCATGAACAAAGCAAAGCTATAATAACTTCTTTTTTTAAATTCAGGGCATCTGTTACAACTTGTCCAGCCTCAATTTCATTATCTCTAAAAAAAACCACTGACAATGAACAGTTTCTTGAAGTAATTAGTGTGGACAACCGTCATCATCATCCTGTGAGCCAAGAGCACAAACCGTCAGAATATGGCGGATTGACAGATACAGCTACTGATAACATAATTGAAAAGAGAACTACAGAAGACAAAAATTTTAGAGCAGTTTTAGCAAAAGGTGAACATATTGCAAAGCTGGCTTCCGTCAGCGACAATAAACGATTTCATGAAATACTTAAAAATCTTGATGATTTAATTCTCTATTTAAAATGCGTTGAAAACGAGGTTGAAAATGATGATGATGATGATGATGATTAGGTACTGATGAAGAAAAAATGGAATTGGACAAAAATAATAAGGATGAACTATAACTTATTGAACCTGACAGTGAATTAAATGTAATCTATTTGTAGATTTACAAACTTTTTTTGTATTGATACTGATCATATCAGTTGGAAAATTAGTATTTCCAATGAGGGCGGGCTAGCTGATTGGCCAAATTTGCCCATTGACTCTTATGTGATAACTCATGAGCCTACAAAACGTTTTATGCAACACTCATGTAATTGTGTTAATGATAAAAGATGGAAATAATAAAAATTTGAAATTGCATTGTCAGAAATAGTTATCAACGTTATAAGGCCGATAGGTAGCAAAAAACGGCTGGGTTGAAATTTGTATCATCATAATCAGCCAAGGCTGTTATTTGAAGTTATTGGCCGTGTTTCGTTCTAAATTTTTCGTTATACTGCAAATATTTTTCAATCAAATAAAAAAAAAACACTCTCTCGGCCAAAGGCCGACGGCGTGTTATTTATATTTAATTGGTCGGCAAATACATAACGGCCGGCGGTCAGTTAAATATACCTTTTCGATTTCAATTTCGCTCATGTTATATTGAGATAACGGTACACTATCACGAAAAAAAAAAAAAAACGTGCAGCCTTCTTTAAATCACACAATGGATCTCTACACCGTACTACACGGCAACAAGTCGGTGATGTGATAGTAGTTCAGCAGTTCAGCTTAGGTTTCAGACAAGTAAATAGTAAATGCGCTTGGCTACTAGACTCTAGGGTTCTATTTAACCATCGTCGGAGCGTAACCGGTTCTGAAATCACGTCACTTTTGCTTATCGGCCGCGTTTTTGGTAATCGCCGCTTGCCGCCATATTGGTGTGATACCATTTCCGACGACATAACTAAGTAAGTAGTCAGCTATTTAAACAGCCTACGTCACAACTGGTATTTTGGCTAGGGGGATTTGTTACCCGCAGGCCTTATGAGGATAGGCCATCTTGTAGTAGTAGTGTGTATTATCCTTGAATCCAATCCAGGGCTGGGATCATGACAAGAAGAATTCTACTAAAATTCTACCATCATGATTGCCTGTACTGTACGCAATAAATAGGTCGCGGATGACGTCATGGAAGTAGAATTCCACTCGTCGTGATCCCAGCCCAGGTGACATACAAGATGGCTTGGCGGACACATATGGGCCAAAAAACACAAAAAAATATTTAGTTTCTGCCTGACTTTAATAATTTACGTACTAGTCAACAAATATTTTATTATAGTTATTTATGTATCAAGGGTACTAAGTAGATAATTATGCCCTGAGGGCGACAGCCTTACAAAGCCGAGGGCCTCTGGCCCGAGGGTTCGTAAGTCGCCCATGGGTATACATCTATTAGTACCCGTGCCGTGGTGCATACAAACTTTTATGTCATACCAGGGGGACTTTATTTGAAATCGATGCAACTTTGCGTACACGGGCGCACGGGCATAAAGTGATGAATTATGTAGATGGTATCTAAGGTATAAAAAGACAGTAATGTACTGGTATGACATAAAATAATTAAAATCAAAGTTGCAAGCAAAACTCAAATTATCAAAATAAGCATCAAAACAGATATTCAAAACAAACTTGTTTGGACGCCACGCCATATTGAATTTTTGTTTTGACAGATGGATATTTCTGTTTCACACGCTACATGACACTACCATCATCGGCATCGATTTTTGGAATCAAGATCATATGGTGTTGCACCGTTGTCGACGTCATCAACGGTGTCGTTAGCCGCTCGCACCAGCGATCCTAGTTTACTAGGGTCATATTCTCCGTAGTTCATTAATGGCCGTTTCCACCAACAATTTTAGGGGAGCCCTAACGATGAGTATTCCCTAAAATGACATTTTTACATGGAGAAATGTCAGTTTAGGGAATACTTATCGTTAAGGCTCCCCTAAAATAGTTGGTGGAAACGGCCATTAGCCTGGCTTAGTGGTAAAACTTGGCTTTGTCGAACCAGGCTTTACGAACTACGGAGAATATGGTCCTTATGGCCGTTTGCACCGACCACTTTAAGGAAGGTTTAATGATAATCAACGTTTAAAGTGATATTTTTACATGTGAAACTGTCACTTTAAACGTTGATTATCTTTGAACCTCCCTTAAAATGGTCGGTGCAAACGGCCATTAGTAAAGCCGAGTACAGTACTCATAACCGCGAAATTCTCTCTTTTTTGACATTGCGTCGAAAATTTGACGTTTATGCGTGAATCAAACGTCAAATTATCGAAGCAATGTCAAAAAAGAGGGAATTTCGCGGTTATGAGTACCTACTAGGCTTTAAGAATATTATAGTCCTTTTCACGTGGCTCCGGTTTTAACTAACCGGAAGAATTTATAAATCACTTTTCTAATGACTGGAGTTTTGAAGCTTTGACGCCTCGCTGACTCTGGTACATAGAAATAGAAAATCGAGAACAAGAATTTAATTATTGTTATTTCTATCGTTTCTTATTTAACCATTCTTACTTTTATCAAAACAAAATTACAAGTCCATTATACACGATAATAATTATTTGTAAAAATATTTCAATTTTTTAGTTTTTTTTTTTCCTATTTTTTAATATTTCTAGAGTAGAGCTAGATGTGTCAGCCGGCGTATCGAGTTCAAATATTTCGGATGATCCAGAAAAACTCTGTAAAAGAAATTCGATTCAATTTTAATGAACGTTAATAATGAGGAAAGTTATGGGGTGGTAGAACAGGCTTATAAACCCAGTCCCAGTATTGACCACTTTAAAACGAAAACAAAATGAACTACTCCCTTCACTCACTAATCAGCGAAAAAAGGTACCATAGGCTCCTTGCATCAAATTTTTTTATTGCGGATTTCGATAGTCCATGAAAAATAAGTCAACACGTGTTTTTTTTTTCTTAGTCAAAAATTGACGGAGATATAACGCTTTGAAATGTCCTTCCGACGTCATAGTCATAACGGTATAATACGTTGTGAGTTGTGACGTCGCACATGCTCAGTATATCTATATCTATATATAAAACTCAATATTTGTTATAACTTCCGAAATAATCATATTTGGACAAAATAGAAAAACACGCATCGATTTCTTTTCGATTTCCTACAGTTTGCAATAAACAATAATCAATTTAATTTTTCACGCAAGTACCCTATTACTCCACAGAGGAAATTTATTTCAACAAAAAAAAAAATCAAAAATCCGCATCTAATCTTCAAACAATATGAGACTTAATCTTAATACCACGGACTCGACCACGGGTTAATATAGAATATTTAATTTTAAGGCATGTTCAAATTATGATATTTTTTGGTAAACAAATGTTGTATTAGTTTTCTTTTATTTATGATTAATATTGATTTTAAGTTTATTTTTGTTGTGTTCCTCCTGATTTCTAATTTAACGAGTTCGTAATTATTATTATCAACTTTTTTTTTTTTTTTTAGCAGTGTACTACATTGCTCCAGTCAACAACCTTTTGCTGTAACGGAATATACACCTTCCTTCGAATTCAATGCGCTCGGCTCGGCTTTCCGGCTACAATCGTAGTTGCTCCACATGTGATGGCTAGACTCTAGTCTAGAAAACTTTGCAGATCCTCTGGTTTTGTTTCTGGTTTCAATCTAGATACATGCAGAGATACTAATTTAGGTACTGCTTGTATATTCTCATTCTTATCGTCTCCCCCAACTAAGAACTTTCTACCTTTCCCCCGATTTCTCTGCCTAGACGTTCAAAGCCATCACTATCGGCGTTACCAAGATCATGAATTTCTTTCATGACTTGCAACTGCTGGGCTTGCAAAACAGGAGCATTCACATTTTTATCAGTAACAAGAATAGGAGCCCCAACCGGCCCAATTATATTTTCTTTTTGGTTGCGATTTCCGATGTTACCGCAATTTGAAGAAGACGGTTTGTTCTAATAGCCGCCGTCGACGCATACGTCCTCTTTACACTGTTGCCAGTTAGTGCGGCTGTTGGAGCAGTACGAGGCGTATAGCTGGTTCTCTGCAACAATTGTGTACCTGCTTGAATATTTTGACCTTGGTCTAAACTACTCGTGAATCAGTGGCGCAGCCAGGGGGCCCGGGCCCCCCCCAAGGCTTCAGAAAAAAATAGAAAAATAACAAAGTAGACGAAAGCTGTAAACTGCTCAAATCAGAAAAAGTTTAAAAGAAAGCGAATCTGTGCTTTTTCCTATATTTTTTTCTGCGTGGCCCCTCCCAGACAAAATTTCTGGCTGCGCCACTGTCGTGAATGGTTTGATATTGTTAACTACATTACTATTTTCGTTTTTTTGGTCGCTTTTTCCAGCTGATGCAGCCAATTTTAAAGTCTGTTTTTTTTAAAGATAATAATTCCCCAAGTCAAAAATTTAGTAACTATAGCCGCTTTCCAGCTGTGTGCTTCAAGCACGGTGCAGCACAGTGTTCTGTGTTTGAAACGCAAAAGTTAGCAGCTCTCGAAGCGGAGTACGGCTGGAACACGAACATGCGCTTGAAGCATTTGCGCGCGCAATAGCTCGATTGCGTGCTCAAAAGCGTCAGCTGGAAAACGGCTTATGTTGGCAACACAAGCCTTTTCTACTTAAAAAAAAAATTGAAAGCATTGACAATTTTACATTATACTTCCAAAATAATGTCATTTTGACTTTTATCTTGACTTTAGGTTCTCGATTTTTTACTGTATTCCTTTTATACGTCGAGTTACACTGAACGTGTCGCTCTAGAGCTCCTCGGAGTCACTCCAAAACAGGGATGTGGGATGTGCCGTAGACTATGAAATCTACTTTACGAGGTTCGTCTACTCGTTGTCTACGTATTGTTTACATCCACTTTTTTCCATGTAGACTATAGACATTTTCTCGCGTCTCAAATGTTTCAAAATATTTTTCAAAACTGGTTTAAGTAATGTCACCATGATGTCATAATTTCTCGGCGTGAGAAAATGGTGTGAAAATGTGAATTAGATGCATTTCGAAACAATTTGAACCAATTTTGACGTGACGTCATGGGTTTATCGCGAGAATGTACTGTTTCAAAACAGTTTTGAACCAGTTTCAAAAAAGTGGACGCGAGAAAACGCCTTATGTAAAGTCTGTTTTTTTTTTAAAGATAATTCCCCAAGTCAAAAATTTAGTAACTATGTTGGCAACACAAGCCTTTTCTACATAAAAAATTTGAAAGCTTTGACAATTTTACATTGTATTGCCAACACAATGTCATTTTGACTTTTATCTTTAAAAAAAAAACAGATTTTAGACAATGTAGACAACAGAAAATTTGAAATTTGAGTATTTTTTTTGAAAGTTTGCATTGCACTAAATTTATATTGTATCAAATTAAACATCTGCAGTTTCATTTAACATTACAAAGCAAAAAACAAAGCAAAGCAAAAACCAATGAACTATAACCAAAAACTGGAATGCTAACACATAAAGCCAGGAACACATCTATCATGCATTCTTCCGATCCGACTCCGATCATACAATCAAGGTCCTTATTCTTGGAACAGGAGAGCAGCGGAACATTCGTTCTCCTTGGGAACGCTGCGCTGTTCCCTATTCCAAGAATGAGGACCCTGATTGTATGATCGGAGTCGGATCGGAAGAATGCATGATAGATGTGTCCCGGGCTTTAGGACGAATGTGAAGCCTAGTGCAGCTGCTGCGGAGGGGATACCTGTTTTTTTCGCACTCATTATGTTAAATGGCGAAAATTGCTTCCAACACGTATTCCGATCGATGAAACCTGTGAAGGGAAATATGACAAAACTTTCGAAAACGTCATATGTCAGCGAGCAACAGAAAAAAACAACATTCCCCCTTGTGGCATCTGTCTTTCATGGCTTCATTTTCTGAGCAGATATGGCAATGTGTGCGCATTCCAGTTTTTAGCTATTAGGCAATTCAAACCACGTGACATTCAAGATGGCGTGGCGGCCACACATGGGCCAAAAAACACAAAAAAATATCTAGTTTCTGCCCGAATTAATAGTTTAGGTACCTAGTCAACAAATATTTTATTAAATAATGAAAATCAAAATTGTAAGCAAAACTGTATGCAAAATAATTTAAAATACGCATAAAAACATATTCAAAACAAACTTGTTTGGCCGACACGTCACATTGAATTTTCCTTTTTGACAGATGGATTGAATTGCCTAATAGGGCAGTTTGATGTTTGACGTTCAAGATGGCGTTGCGGCATAAAAAACTTTTGTAGATAAGCACTCTGCAAATCAAAAATCAAAAAATATTTATGAACTATATGTTTCAGACTGTTAACAGTTCTGGAGCACACGAACAACTAATCGGAGGTGAAGAAAATCATCTTGATGTAACTTATATTTAGGCTTTTCTACCTACTTGGGGCACAGCTTCTTGGGGTCCGTTTTGTACCTGATGTCCAGGTATTTTATTGATAGATAAATATTCCAAATAACTACGAACATTAAAGCAAATTGAAATAAATTAAAATTCATCAAATTAAACTCTGAAACACGTAGAAATAAGTGAAATAACACATATTTATATCCGTGTTTATATGGAGGCATGTTTAACCTCAATGATTTGTTTACATTTGTGCCGCATCGCCATCTTGAATTATCAGCTGATTCGAACTGCCTAATAGTTCATTGGCAAAAACAGAAACATAACCTTAAAGGCCTGCCAACTGTCAAAAATTGTATACTTTACGCGTTGTCTACATATTTTACACGTTGTCTACATAGATTACATAGTATACATTGTCTACGCGTTGTTTACATTGTCTACGCGTTGTTTACACCAGACGTAGACAATCTTTGTTTACGCGTAGATGCCCATCTCTGCTCTAAAACACACAATTCAGATATTATCAGGTCTGTTTCTGCAGAAATGCCAAACCAGTCAGAGCGAATTTTATTGGTTGAAAACAGTCAGAAAACTAGTTTCAACCAATGAAATTCGCTCTGAATGGTTTGTGATTTCTACAGAAACAGACCTATCATTATTCTTCAATATTAATATTACCCAGGGCCGGTTTCCCAATAGCGAGTCACTTCCGGGTTAGTTTTAACTCGTCTAGGGTAGGTACACGTATCCAGGTGCTATGTTTACCCTGGAGTTATGCTTAACCCGGCCGGGGGGGTGACTTGCTATCAATGAAGTAGTAAGAAGGTTGGAATAGCCCTTTGCCTACTTACTCAATACATATATTTGCGGCCAACATTAGAGTTAGGGAACAGGAGAAATCCATGAGATTTTCTTGCCCTTTCTAGCGCTATCTCACTCAGGGTTAGAGTGAGAGATATGGGAGATCCAATAGATTTCTTGCCCTTACTAGCGCTATCTCATTTGGGAATCAATTGAATGACGCAAAGCTCATTCCAAACCTTCTTTCTACTTCATTGCTTGCTATTGAGAAATCGGCCCCTAATGACGGTTTTCCACCAAACCGACAAAACAAAAACACAACTTAAACTCAGACAAAACTCCAACTTTTGGAGTCAATGCTTTCAAATTTTTTATGTAGAAAAGGCTTGTGTTGCCAACATAGTTACTAAATTTTTGACTTGGGGAATTATCTTTAAAAAAAAAACAGACTAGCGTGTTTTGCGACAGTTGAAGTTTTGTTTTTCGGGTCCCGTCCGGAATCGGTTAATATGAGACTCAAACACAGACTCGAGTCCGTTCAGTTTTGTTTTTGTTTTAAAACATGATTTAAAACAAAAACTCAACAGTCCGTTTGGTGGAAAACCGGCATAAAAGGGCTTCTTGCACCCACCGCAAATGTGGTGCATCAGGGGAAAGGGGGATGCACTATGAGCGACTCTAGTGCTTAACGCACTTTTAAAAGAATTTTCACGCTTTTGACTTTGAGCAGCTCCGAGTAACTCATCGGGTAAGAGCGGGTATTATAAAACTTCTTTGAAAGTTAACTTCTGAAATTACATGTAATTCAAAAAGTTAACTTTAAGTTAACTGTCCTAAAGCAGTTTTATAATACCCGCCCTAAAAGGAATACAGTAATTTAGAAGGAGCTCCGGAACAGCTCCGGGGCGTTACGCGCTTATTCCTTTCGAAAAGTGTTTGTTGCACCACGCATCCGTTCCTTTCATATCGGGGGCGACTAACACCGGAGCGAGTAGCTCGAGTGTTTTAAACTGTTGAAAAGAAAAGAATACAACTAATCACGTGCCTGTCAAAATTCCGGAGCAAATCGACGAAAAAGATGACAAAAACGAACACGGCCTCTGGTTGGTGGTTGCCGTGGTTGGAACAAAGTTATTACATCACTGAAACGTCAACTTTTTGGCACTTGAAATCCTGTCGGCGAAAATTTAATTTTTTAATATTTTTTTATTAAAAAAGCCCATTTCTCATTTAATAATGCATTAAGCTCATAAATACACCCGCTTAAATGGAGCATTTACTGAAAGGCAAATTTGGGTAAGCTTTTCGCTCACTAATTTCTAGGTTATATTACCTCTGATAATTCTCCCAAAATTTTGTTTATAAATTGCCAAAACTTTCCAGACGAATAGTGATAAGTTCCTACTCGTACCACCCATTAAAATATGGTCCTCAAAGGCGTTTCCAAAGGGGCATATCCAGCCTTTGGGGTGGTAGAGCGGTTGATAGATCCAGACCTCAGTTTTATCAAAACTATAAGTTCCAAAGGCGAGAGTATGGAATGTTTATTGTTAGGGCTTTAAAAGGAGTCTTGAAGATTCGATATTTACTTCTTGGAGGTGCTGTCGCTGGAGGAGGAGCATTGAATAAGGTAAGAAGTTGTGGTTACCCAACAATCTTTCCTTAATTCAAATTGTACCTGAGAGAGTAATTTTATTCTTTTTGAAAAATGTATTTTTCCAATATTCGAATCCATACATACATAACATATTTGCAGAAATACAATGACTGGAAAGAAGGTTTGCCAGATCTAAAATGGCTTGATGATGTCCTACCTGATAATGAGAAATTCAATCAATGGAGAGGAAACCTGATAGAATTTAGGGACAGTGTGAAAAATAACATAGAAATAGGTAGGTTAATAGTGATTGTTATTTTTTGAAAACAATCTTTATTTAAAGTATAGGTACCTACCAATGATACAGTTAGGTATTGCAGAAAAAAATCTAATCAGTGCCAAAAAGCCAAGCAAAAAGCTCTGGCCCTGAGAATATTAGGTCCTAAATGAATGGTGTTGGATAAATGGTTATCTAATAAACTAAAATCTAATTTTATGGTAAAAATAAGAATAGATTTTGCATATCTTGAACTTGGATTTTTACCAGGTTATTAATATACTCAAACTATGATTAAAGTTAACTAAAACTTAAATATAATTATAATTTTTTCAACAAATAACCTATATCTTTGGATATTTTTCAAATTTTTTAGATACTGTTAGAGATGGCAAATTCTCAAGAATTTATTTTGAGAGAATTTTCTCGGAGAATATTCGGGAACATTGGAGAATTTTGGAGTATTTTAGGGAATTTCAAAGAATATAGCTTCTTAACATCATTTGGGGCTTTTCGCATTTTTTTGATACACAAAATCAGAAAATCTACATTGAAATTTGTTGTCCCTATTTTGTCTGAAATATTTTCATATCAATCCTCTAGGTTTAATTTTTGAAGGAATTTTCTCAAAACTAGTCAAAACTAATATTAAATTAAATATTTCTTTACACACACTCTGCACATTACGGGGACAATGTAATAACTTCTGGCGTTTCCGGTTGGTAGAAATCGAGCACAAAAATTTGATATGTCAGAATAGAAGGTTTTTCGGATATCAAACCTCGGAAAACGGATGACGGTTGCATGAGACTCCGGCTCAGCTTTTCGTTTTTCACAATGAACTGATAAATTCAAAAATTACAGCTAACTTCCCATAAATTCTCGAAAATTACCGTATAATCTCATAAATTCTTGAACCTAAAAAAATCATAAATTCTCGAGAATTTAAGGATAAAGAATATTCTCGATAAATTCTCTGTTCTCAATAGAAGTTCTTTGGAGAATATTCTCAGGGCTATCTCTAGATACTGTATTGTATATTCCAAATGTTTCCATAATCAGGTTGTTTAAACCTATATTCTCACCCATGTTCTTGTGGTGGTTTGATGAATATTATTATTATAGTTCCAGTTTTATAATTATGTTTGATCATCTTTGGTTTTTGTTTAGCTCAATTTGTTCTTTTGCTTAGTATAAAAACTCTATTTCAGATCCCAGAATCAAAGCCTTATCAGAAGCAAAATACACCCAATTCAGAAGTTGGTTTGATCAAAGGTTAGACGATGCCATAGCAGCAGCTGAAAAAGCTGAACAAACCCAAAATGAAAATTCTGCCAAAGGTAATTTTCGTTTGGTCTTTTTTTTTGGATATTTGAGTACATTCTGTCCATTTTTCACTTTTAATAATCAATGTATTTAAAATTTCTTTATTTAGGTACAAGTCCTGGCCTTACAGACATGATTGACCGAATGTACTCAGGTATGAAATCCTTCCTGTTCCTTTCCTGCACTGTTAAAAAAATGATATTATTTTAGAAGTTAAAAGTGAAATTCAAGAAAAGAATGTTGCCTATGCAAGACCCTTTGCAAAGCAGGACAACGATGATGCTAGAATTCGAAAGGAAGCTCAACAAAGATTGAATGAAATTCAAGAGGAAATGATGCAAACACAAATTAAATACCAAAGAGAACTGGAGAAGTTGGAAAAGGAAAACAAGGAATTGAGAAAGCAGAATTTGTTGTTGAAACAAGGCAGAAAACCTAATATGAAGAAAATTAAAAGGAGTTTGATTGATATGTACAGTGAGGTGCTGGATGAATTAGCTGATTTTGATAGCGGATATAATACTCAAGATCAGCTGCCCAGAGTTGTGGTTGTTGGAGATCAGAGTAGTGGAAAAACATCAGTTTTGGAAATGATTGCTCAGGCTAGAATATTTCCAAGGGGAGCTGGCGAAATGATGACAAGGTTCTTTAAACATTTGTGCCTTTAGTCCAATAAAAAAAATTGTTTTAGAGCTCCAGTAAAAGTCACTTTATCAGAAGGTCCTTATCATGTGGCACAATTCCGGGATTCTTCAAGAGAATTTGATTTAACTAAAGAAAGTGATTTGGCAGATCTCAGAAAGGAAGTTGAACTGAGAATGAGAAATAGTGTGAAAGGGGGAAAAACTGTTTCTAGTGAAGTTATATCCATGACAGTAAAAGGTCCTGGGCTGCAAAGAATTGTACTTGTCGATTTACCTGGAATAATTTCTGTAAGTAGCTAATTTTTTTCATGAAATAAGCGGGGAAATTGTCAAAAGTAAAATTCATATTATCATTTCAAATTTAATTTAACTCAATTAATTATTGATTGATCTGCTCTGTGATTGACCTTATTTGCAGAAAGAAAGCTTATTATCAATAAAGCAATAATAACTATTTAATTCTCCAGTTGTTAGGTTGTTCCTGACATAGTGGGAGCCGACACGTTTTTTCCCTCACAGGTCATTCACAATAGTCCCAACTCCTTCTATTTGTTGCCAGCTGTTACAATGCGCGAATTGTAATAAGACAGCTTAGCCTCCCCAATCACAATGTTTTCATTCCACTCACAATATTTCCCATGGATACAAAAATATTTGAAAAAATATTGTCAAAAAGTGAAAAGTGAAATTCACATTATCATTTCAAATTTAATTTATCACAATTAATTAATTATCGATAGTTCATTGCAATTTCGTTATTGTTCAACATTGCTTAACCCTTTCGGTCCGATCGGTACACATATGTACCACAGATGTTGTAGAAATTCTGAAAGTCCCTTTATTCCTTATAGGCAAGCGGTGAATGTACCAGCCCGGTATTTCAGACTAACGCAATGACAAGGCGCGCGAATATCAGCATAATTTCAGGTTATGTTGTTCGTAACTGGTGAAAATAAACACGTGTTCATGAGGCTGCCTATATTTTGTAAGATTTTAATGGTTTTTTGAGCTGTTTTCGTGATTGTTTTGTGCGATAAACATTGCTAAAGTGTGTGGCTAACAAGGTATGTAATAGTCGTTAGTGAACTTTTTTATTTTCAATATGGTACACATACGTACCACTCGGTAATTATAGTGGTACAGATAGGTACCAGTAGGTTTGTGACGTTCTGTTTTTGTTCTTTTCAGGAGGGCATGAGCAAACGTCCGTTGAGCGAAAAAGAGTTGGAGGAGATCGTTGAAGACCTTTCAGAGCCCGAGCCATTTTCCTCGGGTTCCAGTGATGACTATGAGCCTAGTGAATCTGATGAATCTGATGATAGTGACGATTTTATGGCAAAACGAGTTCCAAAGAATATTGTCAAGAGCAGATCACCTAGCCCGAAATCTGATGACTCTGATGTATCTGAAACTTCTGAGCTTGAGCTCGAGCCTGAGGTCGACCCGCCGTCGCCGCAGCCAGTTCAAAATGACCGCAACCGGCTTCTTGATTGGACTATTCCCGATCATACATTTCAACCATCTAAGGTTCTTCCTACTGAAATAAGTTCTTTGCTGAGAGCAGATATTACAAAAGACTTGACGCCAATACAAATTTTTCATAAAGTTTTTCCTCACTCATTATATATACAGATTGTGGACTGCACAAATCAGCGCCTGGAAATTTTGAGCAATACAAAAAAGAAGAAGGAAAAAAAGACAGATAAAGGAGAAATTCAAAAAGTTATTGGCTGTATGTTTATTATGTCGTACAATAAACTGCCGGCTCTTAGGCATTAATGGAGTCAAAGGGAGTCGATGGGAAACCGAACCATTGAAAAAGCTATTTCTCGTGACAGATTTCTGTTGTTAGTTTCAAAACTTTATTTTGCCCCTCCTGCAAAACCTGTAGATGCACCGAGAACTTATTACATACAAGAGATAATAGCCTGCCTCAAGCATACATTTACCAGCTGCCGTAAAGATAGCGTTTATCAAAGCATAGACGAATCTATGACAAAGTTCAAGGGGCGATCGGCACTGAAGCAGTATATGCCTCTCAAACCTACTAAAAGAGGCATAAAGTTATGGCTACGTTGCGATGCCGATTCGGGGTATACCTACGATGTAGATGTATATTCTGGTAAAGAAGGGAATGGCGTTTCTGCAAATACGACCACCACTCTTGGTGAAAGGGTCATAAAATCATTAGCTGCAACCATAAAAGAAAAAGATGTAGTACTATGTTTTGATCGTTTTTTTACCAGTGTCAACCTTTTGGAAACAATACATTACGCCGCCTTAGGTACCTGCATGAGCAACCGGAAAAATGTGCCATCCTTTGGAAGTAGTAAGCTAAAAAAAGGACAGTCCGAATTCCGATGTACTAATACAGGATTATTGTGTGTGAAATGGCAAGACACCAAAGAAGTGATTCTTATGAGTAACTGTCATTCACCAGAATTGACAAGGATTACTAAGAAGACAAGGACTGGCGAACAAGAAGAAATCGATTGTCTTGAGGCCATCGCATTTTACCGTCAAAAAATGGGAGGGGTTGATCGTGCCGACCAATTTATTAGTTTATATGAACATGACAGAAAATCTACCAGATGGTGGAAGAAAGTTTTTTACACCTGTCTAAGTATGTGTGCAGTCAATTCATGGATAATGTACAATGACTTGAGACGCAAAGAAGATAAAATTCCCTTTCTTACTTTTTTGGTTACGCTTGCTGAAGAACTTATAGCAGAAGGCATGAGAAACACGAGTCTGCCAACACCAAAAAGAGGACCGCCTTCTAAAAAAAGGAAACTTTTTGGACCCACTCCCTTGCATCTTCCTATGGAGGGACAGATACGAAGGAGATGTGTACGATGCTCTCAAGAAAAGCAGCAGACAAGGACCAAAACACTATGTAAAGAATGTAACGTGCCCTTATGTAAAAATTGCTTCATGTTGTACCATACTCGCTGATAGATGTACCGCATTTTTTTTTCATTAGTTTTGTAGAATAAAGGTGTATTACTTTTGAATTTTTGTTTTTACTCAAAACTGTTGGTACATATTTGTACCACCAGAAATTCCTGATGGTACAATTATGTACCAGGGGTGAAATCATCCCCTCGCTCAAAAATGCAAGTTCAAGGCCTGAGAACCTTTTAGTTAAGTTAATAAATACTCAAATCCTAAAGTATTTCATAAAAATAGAAAAAAATGGTATTCAGGGCCGAAAGGGTTAACATGCAAAAAGGAAACCAAATTAGACACACTTGCATTATAACTAAATCAATGTTGAAATCTCAATTGATTCCAAAAATGGTAAAAAATCTAGATGGCTAAACGAGGGTAACCTGTATATTACACCTAATTAGAGTCACCCAACTTAATGCAAATCCAATCTGCACCAAGGAAAATGGACTACTAATGCAAAAGCAGAAAATCACAAACTTTACATGCAAAAACATGTAAGCAGAGTTTTTTTCCTGCCACAGCCTGAGCTTCAAATCAAGATGCACCGCCAAGAAGTTTGTGGACATTGTGTTTGTTCACTTTTTCTCTATAAAAATTAGAATGTGATTTTGCCTTGATTCAGAAGCAGAAAAATATTTTGTAATATGAATTGCATATTGCATCAGAAAAATAAGAAGCCGGTAATCAATTGTGGAAAACTCAAAACTGACCATGAAGACAAACCTCTTATTCATATGTGCACGTCATTTCATTTAAGGTAACAAAACTGATCATGTGTGCCTGTAATTTTTTTTTCGAGGAGGTCTGAACTCTGCTCCTGTTCAAAAATTCAAAATTTCATTAACGCAACATAAGACATAAAATATAGAAATACAAAAAAATTTAAAAAGATAAAAAGATTAAAAGATCACTGATTAAAAGGTAAAAGTTATAAAATTGAACAAAAACAATAACAAACAATTTAAAACAGTTCAAGATCCTATCTAACAATACAACCATTAAGTTAGTAGGTGTTTTTTAACTTTAGATCTAAATTGGTTAAAGCTATCATTAACAATAACAATAGTATCACATATTTTTATCACATCGTTTGTCAATTTACACAATCTTGATAGGGGTGAGTCCAGACTATAGTGTGTTTGGTGAAAATCAATAGGATACTCGGAATATGACAACTCTGAGGATGCTACTTTTGAATCGGAGAGGATGGTTGATCTTGCAGCTCAAACTATCTCCACTTGAAGTTTTTGACAGAATTTGCTAATCACCCCACGTTTTAAGAATGTCATTATCAATAATATCAATGGACAACATGGTTTCATGAAGGGAAGATCCACCATAACAAATCTTTTAACTTATGAGGGGGCTTTGTTCAAAGCTTTCGGGAATTGGTATCAAGTTATACAAACCCACTGAAAATTGTATTTTGTTGCAGGAAGATTTAAATAGATTTTCTGCTTGGTGTAAATTGAATAATTTGACTTTAAACATCAAAAAGTGTAGTGTCGTAGATCTAGAGGCCCTATAGACCCTATAGTTTTCGATTATACAGTTGATTCATTGGAGTTGGAGAGACAAACCCTAGTTAAGGACCTTGGCATCTGGCTCGACAGCAAGTTAACCTTTTCAGAACATATAGATATAATAATAAATAGAGCAATGAGGTTGCTGGGGTTTGTATTTAAAACTCTTGAACTCTCAAGGGTTATAATAATATTTTTACAATAGGAGATGTTTATTGTTCTCTGATTCGATCCATCCTAGAGAATGGAAGTCACTGTGTGGCAACCATATTATGCTGTGCATAAGGAAAAACTAGGGAGAGTACAAAATAAATTTCTCAAAGGAATAGGATATTAACTAAACAATTCTTTGCTTGCACTTATTGGTCTACACATATCTCCTAATAATTCTAGAAAGAGTCAGCTTTTTTATACCACTGATGCAAAATGACCACGTGAAATTGGCAGTTAGCGGCCATTTTCCCGAAGATTGCCGAACGACCAGTGGCGTCGGATAATAATTTAATTTGATCATTTGCAAATATTCCAGTGCACATCAGTAAGAAATAGTTAATAATAAATAATAATATATTTTATTTGAATGAAAAACCAACAAATTGATATGGAAATGGGGTACCAAATATAATCCAATAAAATTATCACATTCTCCAGGTTTTCAGCTTTCCAGTCTTTGCTGCTTATCTATTTACCTTTAGTGCCGGTACTTTTGATCTCATTTGACAGTCGTTAAAAATAATCAGGGCTTTGAATGTGCTCTAACCACATCATACTTATTAGACTGTCCAAGATGCTGTCAAACTTACATTAAAATGTCCGCCAAGAGGCACACAAACCTTTTGTTTGCCTGTCAAAGTCACATGTTTTGGATAGGCTGACTATTCAAGGTGCTGTCAAACCTAAATTAAAATGTCCGCCAAGAGGCACACAAACCCTTTGTTTGCTTGTCAAAGTCACGTGTTTTGGATAAGCTAATAGACTTTGGCCCACGCAAAACTTTGACAACGTATCAAATTCGTTAATCAAGAGCAAAAGTATCGGCCCTTAATGTATTAATATGAATTAATAACACTTTTGAACTTGCAGGATAGAAACAGGACTAATAAAGCTGAAGTTTAGACTACAAAACACTTACTTGGATAGAGTCTTTTGATTTCTTATTTCTAGCTGCTATCTTTAAAGTTTGAATTTCTCGAAAACTACACATAGAAACACTTTCAAACTTACAGAGCAGAAAGGGGTCTAATGAAGCTAGAACTTAGTGTACAAAAAATTTACTTGGAATGAGTCCTTGGATTTCTCATTTCTAGTTGTTATTTTAAAATATTCGATTTCTCGAAAACTACACATAGTAACACTTTCATACTTGCAGGGTAGAAAGGGATTAAAGGTTAAATAAAGCTAGAACTTAGTGTACGAAACATTTACTTAGAATGAGTCCTTCGATTTTTCATTTCTGGTTGTTATTTTAAAATATTCGATTTCTTTAACACTACACATAGTCACATAGTAACAATTACAAATTTGCAGGGTTGTAAGGGGTTTAATAAAGCTAGATCATTAGTGTATCAAACATTTACTTGGAATAGGTCCTTCAAGTTTCCATTTTTGACAGCTATCTTAAAAGGGGTTTAATAGGGTTTCATTTACTTGGTACCTTCAATTTCTCATTTCTAGTTGCTATCCAAAAAGTATGAGTTTCTCAAAAACTACTTTTATTATAAATCTCATCAGAACTGGCGTGTCAAAAATAAGAATTTATTAAATTTTTTATAATTAAACATACATAATAGAAAAATGTTCAAACTGATAAGGAAATAGGATTGGGGATGTCGAAATTTAAAGTAACAGTGGTAACAGAGCTTCAATTTCTTAGTTTTGGCTGCTAACTTTGGTATGTAAATATGTACCTATTTTTCAACACAATAGATAGTAGAAATAAAGGTTAGAGCGGAAGTGAAATATAACATAAATAAAAATTCGGTTAGTAGGTATGGTGCAATTGTAATAGACACATTAGTATTTATACATAGATTATACCTATATGTACTTATAGACCGTGATATAGGGTACTGTTGGGTGGAGTAATTTGAAGAAATCAGAAATCGAAGGACTCATTCCAAGTAAATGTTTGATACACTAAAGTCTAGCTTTATTAAATCCCTTTCTACCCTGCAAATTTGAAAGTATTACCATGTGTAGTTTTCGAGAAATCGAATATTTTAAGATAACAACCAGAAATGAAAAATCGAAGGATCCATTCCAAGTAAATGTTCAGTACACTAAGGTCTAGCTTTATTTAACCCCTTTCTACCTTGCAAGTATGGAAGTATTACTAATGTGTAGTTTTCGAGAAATCGAGTATTTTAAGATAGCAGCCAGAAATGAGAAATCGAAGGACACATTCCAAGTAAATGTTCATTACACTAAGGTCTAGCATTATTTAACCCTTTTCTACCTTGCGAGTATGGAAGACTATGTGTAGTTTTCGCGAAATCGAGTATTTTAAGATAGCAGCCAGAAATGAAAAATCGAAGGACCCATTCCAAGTAAATGTTTGATGCACTAAAGTCTAGTTTTATTAAACCCCTTTCTAGCCTGCAAATTTGAAAGTGGTACTATGTGTAGTTTCCAAGAAATCGAATATTTTGAGATAACAACCAGAAATGAGATATCCAAGAACCCATTCCAAGTAAATGTTTTGTACACTAAGTTCTAGCTTCATTGGACCTCTTTCTACCCTGGATTATTTGAAATTGATCAGATTAAATTATTATCCGACGATTCCGACGCCACTGTTCGTTCGGCAATCTTTGGGAAAATGGCCGCTAACTTTTGGCTGCCAACTTCACATCAGTTGAACATGCCAACTATTTATATCCTGTGGATCATCACTCTCCCTCCCATTGAGATTCATGCACTGAGGATATTCAGAGTTTTCTTTTTTTTGAATTTACATACTTCCAGAAACTCTTTTTGTCTTTGAGCTGATTTTCTAGACTTGTTATGTATTATTTATGTGATAACTGACTTTTTTTACACTGTGATCTAGTTTAGAGAATCGAGAGTAATCATTCAAGGAATGTGTGGCTTTAAAAGCTTTATGGGCTTTATTTTTTTCCATAATTAAGTTCTTAATTTCGTTATTCGTTATTCATACACCTAGGGGATTTGGTGATTTATAAGGAGCTGTAGCCACAAATAAGTCGATTATGTCGAACAATGTTTTATAAAAACAATATCTACATCGGTAGACTCATATAAAACTCCAATCCACTATATGACAAGTAGTATAAATTAATTCGCCTAAAGGCTAAAGTCTGCTCTCTTAAAATTATAGTAAAAATAGTCAGAGGGTAAGCTATCGTGAAAATTATTATTAAGAGAGAAAATGCACTCAAATGCTGGATGTGGAGCATCTAATTTAAATAACGGACTAGCACTAATCGTAACAGAGACATCCTTGTGGTTCGAGAACAATAAATCCAAATAATTTCCATACCTGTTTGGAATTTGTATATTTTGATATAGATCAAGATAAGTCATCCAATCTGCAATTACTGCAACTTTATTTGACAAGGAGCCAAATGGACTGGTTCCATTTGCACTATTCACCCATGTTATCTTAGGTAGGTTAAAATCCCCCCAGAGCAATACATGTTTGAAGTCATGCTGGTCCATCAATTGGGGTAATAAGCGGATGACAAAAGAATGCATTTTTTTATAGCAATGTTTGTTCTGACCTATCACAGCGAATGACACAGTAACCACGGAGTCCCAACACACTGGACAATAAATTCGGATCCAAAAATGTTTTGTGTCAGCAAAATAACATCAAAATTCTCAACCAGAACATCATGGCGCATCAAAGTATGGATTTTGGATCTAATTCCTCTAACATTTTGATAAAAAAAAACTGTTAAGGACTTCTGGGGTTCCTCTGCAGACTTTGAAAATTTGCAGTGTTTGTTGTCTCTTGCCCGACTCTAGGCTTGAGAAACACGAATGGTCGAAAGATAACCTTAGTAGGCCAAAAGTTGCTGTCATTAGTTTATCATAAAAAGTTTCACAAATTTCCACCTCGAAGCACTTTGAGTTTGCTTTAGTTGGCAGCTCTTCAACTACCAAGAGATTTTTGGCAATTGGGCGTGCTCTTTAATATAATTAAAAACGATTTGTTTTGTTACGCTTTTATCAACTCACCTGAAAATATTCACTTTTTCCCAGGAACTCCTTTAAATAACCCATTGGTACAAGCTGCTGATCCTATATTACCTGCATTGCTGTGGGTTTTAGGACTTTTCATTTATTATCAGTGTTTTTATTTTTATCACTATTTTGCGTGAATTTCTTCAAAATAGTTTATCAAAGAATACGAAGCGCACTCTACATTTTTTGCTTTTTTTTTCCTATTTTTGCATCAAAAATATATTTCAGTGTGTAGTTTTCTGAACTACTTTGTACTGGATAAATATTTCCTAGACATTCTGTTATCCTGCCCACAAAAAAAAAAAATATCACTCAATTTCATATTTACTTTTAGACTCAAACAACCGATATGGCCTCTAACACTAGAGAAAGTATCAAGCAAATGACAGAAGCCTACATGAACAATCCAAATGCCATTATTCTGTGTATACAGGTACGTTTTTTGGATTTGTTTGAGGAAAGTTCAAATTTTTGACTTCTAGGATGGATCAGTGGATGCAGAAAGAAGCAACGTGACTGATTTGGTAGCAAATTGCGATCCCAGTGGCAAAAGGACGATATTTGTTTTGACCAAAGTTGATATGGCAGAAGAGAATTTAGCTGATCCTTCTAGAGTAAATTCTTAATTATGTTTGATACATTTGCAATATTTCAATGTTTTTAGATAAGAAAAATATTGTCTGGTAAACTCTTCCCTATGAAAGCTTTAGGATATTTTGCAGTGGTTACAGGTAGAGGAAGAAAAGACGATGGCATACAAACAATTAAGGATTATGAGGAGAATTTCTTTAGAAGTTCTAAATTATTCAAGTAAGTTAAAATAAGCACAACAAAATTTCTGAGAAGTTTTTTTTTTCTATGCTTATTTTAAAGGGATAGTCAAGTTAAATCCACCCAAGTTACAACCAGAAATCTCAGTTTGGCCGTAGCAGACTGTTTTTGGAAAATGGTTAGAGAAACTATAGAACAACAGGCAGATTCTTTCAAAGCCAGGCGATTTAATTTGGAAACTGAATGGAAAAATAACTTTCCAAGGTCTGTATATTAATTGTCTTTCTATTTTCAATGCCTTTATTGTATAATGTAACCGATAATCACTTTAAATAAAAACAATCTATTATTACTAAGAACACAAAATCAAACTCCCTTTCTTCAAAAAATTATACTATATGTCATATGTTATGGCAATAATTCAATAATAAAATAAAGTTTAATTTCGTGTCCTACATTCATCATTCCTCACTTTGTAGAGAGAGCTACATTTAATAAAATTACTAGGGACATCTTTGAGGGAAGAAAGCTAGGAATCTCATGTCCTGAGAGAGGTTTTAATACATACCTTGATACCTATATCACACCACTAAGAAAGAAAGGGTTAAAACGATTTGAAGCTTTAGAAGTTAAAATTTCCTTATAAAACTTTGGGAAACAAATGTTGGTTTGAAGTCAAATATTTTAAAAATCATTGACATGAGCAAAAGTGAAATCTGCAATAAATCTAGTTCAAATGTGAATTAGAAATGCAGTCCTCAAATTTGAGGCACTTTTTTAATTGAAACCATGTCATATGACTATCTCTTCCAATGTTTGTCTAATTCAAAATTTGTTTTGTTTCAATGAAAGGCTACGGGAGCAAGACAGAGACGAATTATTCGAAAGAGCAAGAGGCGAGATTTTGGATGAAGTCGTAAATCTATCCCAAGTCAGTCCTAGAGATTGGGAAGAACATTTATTGTTAAATATATGGGGAAAAGTTTCAGGGAATGTTTTCGAAAATATTTATATTCCAGCTGCGCAAACAGGATCATCTGGTAAGTACCAAGTAGACAAATAAAGGGTGTGTGACTCAAACTGGTTGCCAAAACTTTTATACTGATTATTTTGGTCGAAAAAATCTATGTTGGTTTTATCACTTCCAGAAACATTTAATACTTCGGTTGACATTAAACTCCGCCAATGGGCTGAATCCACTTTACCGTCACAATCCGTAGAATGCGGCTGGGAGAGCCTCAAAGCAGAATTTGAAAAATTCATGCAAAAAGCATCTGAAGCACCTGAACATGATGATATATTCGATGAACTAAAAAGAGCCGTAGTTAATGAAGCCATGAAACGTCATAAATGGGAAGACAAGGCTTCAGATATGCTTAGAGTGATTCAATTAAACACTTTAGAAGATAGAACAATAGCTGATAAAAGAGATTGGGACCAAGCTGTCAGATTTTTAGAAGCAAGCGTCAAAGAAAAAATAAAAGAAAGTGAAAGACATTTAAAAGAATTGTTAGGGCCTTCTGCAAGAGAAAGATGGCTGTATTGGAAATATCAAAGTGACGTTCAAGCTACGAGGAATCGAGTCAAAAACGAATTGGATATGATTCTGTATTCGAATGACAAACATCCTCCTGCTTTGTCGTATGATGAGTTAACTACTATTAGAAATAATTTGCAAAGAGACAGCATAGAAGTTGATAATGAATTTGTTAGGGACGTATGGGAGGCTATTTATAGGAGACACTTTTTAAATAAAGCTTTGGGAAGGTAATAAACCTAATTATCAGTTATTGTGGAATTAAATGTGATTTTTTTTTTAGGGCTTATGATTGCAAAAAAGCATTTTACCTCTATCACCAACAAATGGATGTTGACTGTGCTGATGTGGTATTATTTCATAGAATACAACAAATGATGAAAGTGACTTCAAATGCTCTTAGACAACAAATTACAAATAGAGAAGGTATTTATCGATTTATTTTTATTTTTATCATTGTTAGATTTTTTAATTTTCAGCTAGAAGATTAGATAAGGAAATTAAGGAAGTTTTGGATGATTATAGTCAAGATCAAATTAAGAAAGTCAGCTTGCTGACTGGGAGACGAGTTACTTTAGCAGAAGAATTGAGTAAGATATCTTTATTCATTTTATGTGTTTCTGATTCATTCTTTTTTCAGAGCGTGTGAGACAAATTCAAGAGAAACTAGAAGAATTTATTCAAGCCCTAAACAAAGAAAAATAAGTCTAGTCCCAATTACATATTAAGTTATTTATGTTAATAAGTTCTAACTTTTCTAGAATACCTATTTAAACTATTGCGACTGTTGTTTTTCTTCAATTTATTTTTTTATTTTTGCCTTTTTAATGAAACAATGGGGAAAATATTAATTGTTATTGTTTAATAATCCTCAAAAATGGTTATGTGATTTTTACTACAAAAATAAAAAAATCTAAATACAAAATTAATCTTTCATTATCCAAATTTTATGAAAATTTGATGACAAACCTTAAAATAATCCTTATTCTGGAGGTTTAATTTCCTTAACAAACTGGAAAGAAGCTATCAGTCCAGTCAACTGAATACCCTCATTTGCTCCTTGTGCTAGCCTGTACTCAATTTCTGCCATTTTATCTAGCAGCCTTATAGTAGTTTCAAATGGGAATTCAACTATAAGAAATATGTGAAAAAAAGTGCAACAAATATCAAATATTAGAACTTACTTCTATGAACAAACTTATGTATTTCAGTAATAATATCACTTAGAGCCAAACCTTTCAAGGTTTTCAATTCTTGAATATCTGAAATTAAAATAATAAGAACTGTACATTTTACAGAATAATATTCTTACTTTTAGATGCAGTTTTCATATCTTCATTCAACAACCATTTTACAATATTTTCAATATCAATTCTCAAAGGATGTCCTACACAAGTGTATACAGTATCCTCAGTAACATTTTTATAAGCAAGCCAAGTACTTTGTAAAACATTTAATACTTTCCTCATATCTCCATTGGCTAGAGTTAGGAGAGCTTCCTTACCATCTTCAGTAATTTCAACTCTAAAACAGTTTTATTAAAGGTTTGGCATAATTTTTAAAAAAAAGCATTACTTTTCTTCATCAATGACATAATTCAATCTAGGAAGAATTTGATTTGGAGATAAAGGTCCGAACCTGAACCTGGTACATCTGGATTGTAGTGCAGGAATAATTTTACTTAAATAATTGCAAATAATGCAAAATCTTATATTTTCAGTATACTTTTCTATAACTAAAAAATTCGTTATTGGAATTTAATCTTCTAAGGATATAAACTCTTACTTCTCCTTAACGCATTCTGAGCATCCATAGTCATAGCGTCAGCTTCATCTAGGATTATCAATTTGAAGCCGCTTTTGAAGATCGTTCTGGTGCTTGCAAAAGTTAAAATTTGTCCTCTCACTATCCCAATACCTCTGTCATCTGAGGCATTCAGTTCCAAGACCATTGAAGAAAATTGGGCTGGTGTATACAATTGTCTTGCACAGGCTAGAATTGTGCTAGTTTTGCCTGTTCCTGGCGGACCATAGAACAATAAATGAGGCACTTGGTCTTCGCGGATGAATTTGCTCACTGAAAGTAGTTTCAAGCATTGAAGTTTTGCTAAGTTTATTTTAGTATGGATACATCACCGTCTCTAAAGTACATACTATTTGTATGTTCTGTGTTTGTAGTCAATATTTGTATTTTGTGATTATTCAGTTCGGTCGATAAATTAGTAAATAGTAAATTAGGTCTGTTCCTCGGTCTGTTCATACAAAAATCACAAACCAGTGAGAATGAATTTCATTCCATTTCATTTATTTTCATTTCATTTATTGAATAACTTTACAAACACCTACAGTAATTACATGCAAAGTAAAAAAGACACACATTAAAAAATACACAAAAACCTACTTAAAACTTAAAAATATGAGGACAGTCAATGATGTTATCAAGGCAATTATCTGTCTCAGACTGCTGTGGAACATATCTATTCTGTTATAGAGGTTCAGGAATTCATTTACTATTATTTGCATATTAGATAAAGGGGACAAACTGTCATTGGGGTCTACCCAGAATAATCCTCTATTGACAATTCTTAGACCAATTTTAGGAACATTAAAACTGATATGCCTGGTAAGATCACAGTGTTGATATTTCTTATGGTTTACAATATTATAAATTAAGATTATAGCTTGTACTCTACGCCTAGATGATAAAGTTTGAAAATTAAAGCTATTTAACATCGACTGGTAGGAGATTCTAAAAGGGTATTCATTGTTCCTTCTAACATATAAGTATCTCAGAAAACGCTTTTGGACCTTTTCAATTTGATCTTGGTTTGTTGTTGCAATTGGAAACCACACTGAGCTAGCATACTCAAGTTTTGGGCAAACCAGTGAATTGTATAATTTAATTACAGTTGGTATTTCAAAATTTTTACTGTTTCTAATTATAAAGCCCAAGACTTGGTATGCCTTACTGACTTCATTTCATTGGTTGAAACTAGTTTTCTGGCTGTTTTCAGCCAATGAAATTCGATCTGACTGGTCTGTGATCTCTGCAGAAACAGACCTAATAACACCATTAACCCTCGCCGCCCCAAAATAATTTTAAAACTTGGGATACCAAAACAGGGTCAAAATGGACCCAGATACAAAACTTTTTTTCTAGTGATTTTGACATAATAAAACATGTTTTTGCATTATGCTTTAATTTCATTATGCAAAAAAAACAACAAAATAAACTTTCTATTCATAAGATAAGTAGATAGTAAACTGAAGGACAAAAGCTAGAAATTCCGAAAACACGTAAAAAAAGCTTGTCGAGTCGGAGGGTTTCAGCGTATACCGATTTATCCCAAAACCGGGTCATTGGTGACCCATAAACGGTTTTCCGAGGAAAAATTGTTTTTTTGGAAAAATAATATAAAGGGCAGTATTCTTGACATAAAGTAGGGGAATTCACAGAAGATCTTCAAAAAAAAGTCATGGAGAGGCAAGATATTCCAGGAAAATCAGATTTTGGGTCATCGCTGACCTGCTGTCGGTAAGGCGAGGGTTAAGGCATTTCCACATAAATATTGTTATGCAGTGTGAGTGATAAAAATTTGGAGTATACTTTAAAGGTGATTTGAAAACATTGGAAATATAAACTTAGCTTAGATACTAAAAATAATTGAATTTCTGTACACAGAATAGGTACTTGGAGTCAGTAGTCAGTAATGTTTGCTGTAAAGCTTGTCGATAAGTCAATAAAAAGTAAAATTTTGAAATATCCACATAACTTAATATTCTAACTTTGCTATTTGAAGTAATTAAAGAGTGTACGCATCATTCGTATCGAATTTACTATACCTTTTCAACTTCAAATTGGGATTAATCAATTTCAATTTGGAACTTAGCAATTTCAAATTGGGATTAATCAACTTTTAATTGGTAACTAACACGTTCAAAATGGGAATAAACAAAGTCAAATTGGGATTAAACAATTTAAATTTGGTACTAATCAACTTCAAATTGGAATTGTTGAATAAAAAAAGTTTTGCAAGTCAAACGGCAGTACGTGTTTAAACCGTATAATAAATTAAGAAAATGACTTAAATTGAAGCACCAGATGCAGAAAATGCTTGAAAGCAAAATGTGTTGTTTTTAATAACAAAGGCGACTGAAGAGGATTGGCTAACACACTGGGTATAAAAAAGCAAACATAAGGTAAAAATGACTGGATACTTAGAGGAAAATCCTGAAATTACGCTGAAATAAAAGAAAAATTTGAAGAAAATCTCATTCTGATGAAATGTTTTCATTCGCAATTTGCAAATCACTAATCAGCCATGTTTAGCGCATGTATAATGCGTTGAATATGAGCTACATGTCTGGCACAAATATTTTTCTCAAATTCGAAGAAATAGTTCATGATTCTCTAAAGCCGGGCTCAAACGACTCGTGTACTTGACGAATAATCGTTACTTGCGTATACTTGCAATGTCGTGTGAGTGGGTTACTTGTACAATTATTTGTCACTCGTTGGTTTTCCATTTCTTGTCGGTAAAAATGTCCCGAGTCAAAGGGATCACGATTATTCGTACACTTGCCAAGTTCATACTTGTCTATACTTGTAGAGGCGCTCAAACGAAATGCACAAATAATTGGCTTTTACTGCGACTAGTGTTCGACGAGCATCAAGGTTTAGCCAAATGTTCGCGTTCGCGTACTTGTAAATTGAACACGTCGTATGAGCGCCCTGCTTGCCATCGCAATTCGCAAAGCTAGTATACTTGCCAAGTACGCGAATAATTGTGTATTCGCCAAGTACACGAGTCGTCTGAGCCCGGCTTAAGGGACTTGAATGTAATCGGAAGGAAAAACAAACTTAAGTCAAAGTCTCAAATATAATTTCCTAAATTGAATAAGTCTATTCCCAATTTGAATTTGTTTCTTCCCAAATCAAAATTGATTAGTCCCAATTTGAAGTTGATTAGTACCAAATTAAATATGATTATTCTCAATTTGATATTGTTAATTCTCAATTTGATTTTGTTAGTTCCCAACTTAAAGTTGCTTATAGTCCCAATTTGAAGTTGAAAAGGTATAGTAAAATGCTTGAGTAAGTACCTGTTTTTATAATATCTTCATGGGAAACCAGATCATCCAGGGTACTCGGTCTGTACTTTTCGACCCTAAAGAAAGTTTTTTCAACAGAGGTTCTTTAAAATATGCAAACTACTTACCAAGGTAGATTCACTCTTTGTTCTTTTTGCACCATTTTACAATTAAATTGAAAAGAAAACCTTGGAAAGGAACACAACCCAAGCAACAGCAAACAAGTAATGCAAAAATTGGAAAAATAATGGAATATTTATTTTGAAAATTTCAGGTTACGATGTTAAAACTGGCGGGAAAAATGAACATGGACCAAAGACACGAAACGAACATTTGGCAACATGGCTAGACCCGAGAGCTGGGTTCGGCTTGCACACTCCGTGGACTCCGAGTGATTCCGTTCGCACACCAGCCGTTCGGGTATTGCCTTTTTACGAATCAGACAACGGCTGGAGTGCAAACGGAGTCTCTCGGAGTGCACGGAGTGTGCAAGCTGAACCCAGCTATTGTTATGGGTTTCTCGATAACGAATCACCTTCGGATTAAGGGTGGATTTTCATGCATCCGTTTTTCCGACGAAAGATGCCCGGAAAACATTCTATTCTGACATAATCGTATAAAAATATGTCAAAATAGAAGATTTTTCGGACATATTTTGTCGGAAGACGGATGCATGAAAAGTAAGCCTAAAGCCTAGTACTCATAACTGCGAAATTCGCACTTTTTTAACATTGCTTCGACAATTTGACGTTTGATTCACGCATAAAACGTCAATTTGTCGTAGCAATGTCAAAAAAGAGCGAATTTCGTTATTATGAGTACTAGGCTCATGGCCGGATTTTCATGCATCCGATTGTCCGACGAAATATGTCCGAAAAGTCTTCTATTTTGACATATTTTCATACGATTATGTCAGAATATAATGTTTTTCGGACATCTTTCGTCGGACAAACGGATGCATGAAAATCCACCCTAAAGCCTAGTACTCATAACCGCGAATTGCGAATTCTTATTTTGCGGATTTTTTTCTATTGGTCGAATATGTCAAATTTAAATATATTTGACCAATAGAAACAAGTCCGCAAAATAAAAATCCGCAATTCGCGGTTATGAGTACTAGGCTTAAGCCTAGTACTCATAACTGCGAAATTCGCATTTTTTTGACATTGCGTTGATAATTTGACGTCTTATGCGTGTATCAGACGTCAAATTGTCGAAGCAATGTCAAAAAAATGCGGATTTCGCAGTTATGAGTACTAGGCTTTAAGGGTGGATTTTCATGCATCCGTTTGTCCGACGAAATATGTCCGAAAAATCTTCTATTTTGACATATTTTTATACGATTATGTCAAAATAGGATGTTTTTCGGACATATTTGGTCGGACAAACGGATGCATGAAAATCCACCCTAAAGCCTAGTACTCATAACTGCGAAATTCGCACTTTTTTGACATTGCTTCGACAATTTGACGTTTGATACACGCATAAAACGTCAAATTGTTAACGCAATGTCAAAAAAATGCGAATTTCGCAGTTATGAGTACTGGGCTTTAGCCTAGTTTTCATGCATCCGTTTATCCGTCAATCCGTTGATCCGAAAGTATTCCTATTGGCCCAATATTTTGGCGCCAGAATCTGGAAGTATATATTCCTATTGGTCCAATATTCTGGCGCCAAAATATTGGGCCAATAGGAATACTTTCGGATCAACGGATTGACGGATATACGGATGCATGAAAAATAACCCTTTAGCATAACTTCAGGGTAAACATAGCAACCCAAGGATGATAGACACTACTACTACAGGATAGCTTATCCTCATAAGGCCTGTGTGGAAAAAATCCCCCCTCCCCCTTCCCCCGCCCCCTCACCAACGCGAAATCACCTATTGTGACGTAGGCAGCATGTTATTTCTCGCCTTGACGTAGGCTGTTTGTTTAAGCAAAGGTAATACTACTAAAGGATAGCCTATCCTCATAAGGCCCGTGTGGAACAAATCCCCCCCTAGCCAAATCACCAGTTGTGACGTAGCCAACATGTTTTTTTTTTGGATGGATGTAGGCTGTTTGCACTACAGATTATGATTCCGCGGGCTTTTGCTTCATGCAAACTTGGTTTTACTACAATAATCAACATTCTAAAACAACCAACTCTTTTTTAGATCTCGTTTTCATATTCCTCTTTGCCTATTATTAGAGAGTTCTCGTGCTGTCCAAATTTCAAATACCGTAACGCTATTTGACAAGTATGACAGTTCTTACGGTATTAGCGTTAACGGAGCCCGCTATCTAAGGGAGGATTTTCATGCATCCGTTTTTCCGTCGAAATATGTCCGTTTAACATTCTATTCTGACATAATCGTATATAAATATGTCAGAATAGAATGTCAAACGGACATATTTCGACGGAAAAACGGATGCATGAAAATCCTCCCTAACGCGACTTAGCGTATGCCTTATCGTAACGCTATTCTATGTCAAAATTAGTTTCCGCTCCATTTATGTCTGCAAAAACAGCAACTTCTAATAATTCCTCGATAAAAAAGACCAAGGAAAAATTAATCAAGCTCAGGAATCTTCAGGATAAATAAAAGTTAGAAAACAAGCATAAAAAAGTTGGGTTAGATCACTCAACTCAGCTGTCAAACTGTAAACAGAATAAGGGATAAGAGGATTTTTGTGTCTTCGTGTCCGAGAACTATAAAATACCATGTAAAATACCGTATTGTTAGCAGTACCGTATTAGCGTAGCGTCTGAGGCACGAGAACTCTCTATTATGTTGATCAATATTAAATGCATGAAAATCAGCACATCTGTTCCTTTCAAATCGGGGCTACTAACCCCGGAGCGAGTAGCTCTAGTGTTTCAAACTCTTGAAAGGAATACAGGGCCGAGTTCAGAAATAACGCACACGCCAAAAGAGCATGAAAACACTGATTGACAGCCGTTGACAGTTGTTTGTTGTCAAGACTTTTATACGTGTGGAGATTGGAAACTATTTCGTCGGTTTTTTCAAGGTTTTTTTTCCTAAGAATGGATTGTGTGTAATGTGCCTTTTCGTGAAAATAATTCCTATTCACCGGCGGACGTGTCTTTCCATAAGTTTTTATCAAATCCTACGTTTGTCAAAATTTAGATACACAAAATCACAGGGCCGAGATTCTAAAATCACGATTCGACACACGACTCGACAACGATACCGGCCTTGTCGTGTCGAAAGGTATAATTCCAATGAGATTTCTAACCTAGAATCGTCGGAAAAATCGTCTCGTTGTCGAATCGTATGTCGAATCGTGATTTTAGAATCCCCGACCAGAAAGGATACTCGCAAAAGAAAGGGAAATCCCGGGGTGCGTTCAAGGACGGCAATGCTAATGCCAAAACCTACTTTTCCCCCTCCACGGGTAATGCTGAACCACGTAGTTTGGAGCCGAACTCGAACGCAAAATGCCAATTTTGGCTGGGCTGTAGCCATTCCTGAACGCAGCCCACAGGGCTCATCAAGTATACAAAGTAATCCACGTTCAAGTTTAGTTTGCGGGAGCTGTTTGTTTCCCACATTTTATTTCCAATTTCAAATGTCACCATTCTATGTCGGTCATTGTCATTTTCCATTCACTAAACAAAGATACCTAACTCATCGGTGAAGTCACCGTATAGAATAAAAACCAGGGGATTGCTAAACATCCAATACACATTGACATTGACAAGCAAGCAAATTTTGGCGGGAATATGAATGTTTTCATACTATCGTCCATCTCCTTTAATTGAAAACATCAATTGGGCCTATAGCACCGTCTAGCATTTTTAAACAGCTAGGGCGTCGCACCGGTGTCACACTCACACTGGGTGTGTCATTCCTGAACTCGCCCCAGCTAATATAGAGCTTGTCGCCAACCGCTCCGGTGTTAAGCCTAGTACTCATAACTGCGAAATTCGCATTTTTTTGACATTGCGTTGACAATTTGACGTTTTATGCGTGTATCAAACGTCAAATTGTCGAAGCAATGTCAAAAAAATGCGAATTTCGCAGTTATGAGTACTAGGCTTTAGTCGACCCCGCTGCCGGATTCTACTTAACGAGTCGAGTCGTAGTTCGTATCGAATTGTCAAAATAGAATTTTATTTTACGATATTTCGATACGTATTACATGGTACACGGTACGTCCGGAGCTGTCGTATTCGATATCGAGACAATCCGACTCGACTCGTAAAATAGAATCCGGGGGTCGAGTCGATTCGAATCGAACCGAACGCCTTATGGCCATTTGCACCGACCATGTTAAGGGAGGTTTAACAATAAACAACGTTTAAAGTGACATTTTTACATGTGAAAATGTTATTTTAAACGTCGATTATCGTTAAACCTCTCTTAAAATGGTCGGTGCAAACGGCCATTAGTCCTTTCCACGCGGCTCCGGTTTAAACTAACCGGGTTACAAAACGGTTAGTAGCGGTATGTCAAGTGATGACGTTTCAAATATTTATAATAGGTTGATTTACCTTCAGATTGAAATATCTACAAATCGGGTATACCAATCAAAAAGCTGTTAAAAAATCGGGACTTTGAATAAAAATCGGGACACTTTTTGTTTAAAGGAATAATTTTTTCTAAAAATAATACTTAACAACTGAGAAATGTTCCACAGAAAGAGAGAGAGGTCTATGTCAGCACTGGACAAATTGAGGCTTAAATAGTGAGAAAAGGGCTGAAATCTGGATAAAATGGAAAATATGAAACAAACCCAAACTGAATTATTTCCAAAAATGTTCACCTTTTATTAGTAAAAATCGAAATGGACAAAAATCCCATTTTTTTACAACAGAAAAAGAACCTGGATATCTCCAGACTCCAGACAAGATGATATCTCAGATAAATCTTCTAACAGATACACCACATGCAGTGATTATCAATGACGATTAATAATCGTCATTGATAATCACTATAATCGTCGATTATAGAGTTCTGAGAAATAGAATCAAACTCGGGGTTAACAAGTACCGTCAATCTGGGTGACTTGAGACGGCCGGGCGAGTTGAGACAAAACTTTTGAGGAAACTAAATATATACCTACCTGGCATTAATATATCCGACGCATTTAGGCGCCAATCGTATTTATTCGACTTAAGGGTTGTCAAGACGTGTTATAGTAATGTTTGGACCACCGCCGACGCGATAAGTTAATTTTTGTGCATTTTTTTACGCATGTCTGTAATTGTTGAACTAAAAAATTGCTGAATAACTTTGCATACTGTCTCTATACTGTCTAGGACTACCTATTGAAACTTTGCTCAGAAATAGAGTGATATTTTGTGCATCTTCTGGAATATAGTAAGTTACTTTCCCTTTTTAAATTTTAAGTTTATGCGGGTGACTTGAGACTTGTCTCAAGTCACCCCAAAACTATTCAGAGTGTTATTATCTGCCTGTTTCAATTGTTTTTATTGGGTTTTAAGCCTATTATGGGAAAATACAAAAGAAAACTTGGCTCCTTGGCTGCAGGCCCTAAGCTGATTCTGATAGCGAAATGTTGAAACCAGCGATTGAAGAAAGAGTGAATCCTAACATTCCTAACGAATATTATCAAAAAAATATGGCATTTCCAGGTGCACCATTCAACGAGTAGTGAATAATCTTAATACAAAAAATCCCGGTGGTCAAATAGTCTTTACAGTGGAATAGGAGCAGAAACTTTGTGGAAAATTTAGGAGTTTCTTGTCGTAGGGGCTTTCTTATTATGGGAACGACTTAAAACGTTTAGTAAAGTCGTAAAGACGGACGGGGTGATCAAAAATTCAAGAAAAATAACTTGCCTGGAAAAGATTAGGTCCGGCTTTTTTTGAAGAAACATTTTCAGATTTCAAGCACTCATTGGTGTGACATTATCAAACCTGCTAGCGCTAGGAGTCAATGTCAATAGACCTTTTCAAGGTCCACAACGCGCTTGCGCGTCAAATAAGTGGGGTTATTTATGTTGGCTGTTTGTTTTTCGGTCCAAAAAGCATAGCAAGTATTATAAAAAAGTTGTAATCAATACCTTTTCCAATTGATCCTGTCAATGCTGTCTGATCGTTTTCAGGTCGTGGGTAGTAGAAGTACATATTCTAAAACTCTAACCTCTATTAAATCCTAGAGGAGTCCCGCAAGGATCAGTTTTGGGACCTTTACTGTTTTCAATTTATGTAGAGGATCTTGTTTCCTTGCCTCTTAGTTGTATGTTTACGCGGTTTGCTAATGATACTACTGCTCTGTGGCGCTGTCCTGGATCCACTCTGCATGAGGCGATGACTGCAGATATTGTTTCCATGAAGCAGTGGTGTGACAGCAACCAACTGTGTTTTAATATCTCCAAAACAAACATTCTTTCCTTTGGATTGTCTGTTGATCCCATAAATTTGGAGACGCAAACAATAGGTTGTTCTTCTAGTGTAAAATTTCTAGGAATAATTGTCGACAAGAACTTAAAATTTATTGAGCACATAGAGCGATTGAAAGCTCGACTAGCTTCTGCCTGCTTTGCTGTGAGAATGACTACTTCAGAGTTGGGATATTCACTGGCAAGAATGGTGTATTTCTCCCTGGTGGACTCTGTTTTACGTTATGGGGTGGCCTTTTGGGGGTTTTGCCCAGGTTACGCCTTTCACTCAGCATTCGTTCTTCAAAAGCGTGCCATCCGTTATCTTCATAATAAAAAACAACATGAACATTGCCGTCCCCTGTTTCTTTCTTCAAAAATTTTAACGTTAACTTGTTTATTTATTTTGGAAACTGTTTGTTTGGTTCATAAAAAGTATGGAGGGGTGGTATCTGGAGTCCGTACAACAAGGCAGTCGGGCAGGCTCCCTCTACCAGTTCCCAGATCTAGTTTGACCAAAAATTCTTTAATTTACGAAAGCCTTAAAATATATAATCATCTACCAACTGACTTGAAAGAAAGAGATATTGAATGCAAAATTATTTCGTAGAGGTATTGTAAAATTGCTGGAGGGGAAGGCCTATTATGACATTGAAGAATACTTTAACGACATACTTTAATGTGGTGTCGGCTCCCTCTGATTGTTGGCTTCTCTTGTCTTTGTTTTTATTTCTATTTTTATTCTTACTGTTATTTTTATTTTTATTTTTATTTTTATTTTTATTTTTATTTTTATTTTTATTTTTATTTTTATTTTTATTTTTATTTTTATTTTTATTTTTATTTTTATTTTTATTTTTATTTTTATTTTTATTTTTATTTTTATTTTTATTTTTATTTTTATTTTTATTTTTATTTTTATTTTTATTTTTATTTTTATTTTTATTTTTATTTTTATTTTTATTTTTATTTTATCTTTTGTGCAATTGCTAATTTCTATGTTTTTGATTTTTTTGTTGAATTTTGATATTTTTTAGTTAGAAACTGCTTTGTCAATAATTTTTTTTTAAATTGAGACAATAAAGCTTATTTGAAATTGAAATTGAAATTTAAACTGGCCCAAATGCCTTTTAAAAACGTTAAATTATCAGCAGCAGATGTGCCAGGTGCAATTTTTCGTAATGAGATTGTAGAGAAAAATAGCGTATTGGAACTTAAAAGGAATTTACGTTGAAGACATGACCAGGGAAAGCGGTAAAAAATTAATTCCTCGGAATATCCCGGTCTTCCAACTCTGCTGTCACTATTACACTTTCCAAAAACACAATATTTGTGTGCCCCATCGCTTTTACTAATTTTTAATGCACATTGGCGCGCTCTAGAGTACCTCGGGGGCGCCACGCACTATTTGTACCGTTCCAGTATCATGGCGTGAGACGCCTGTCTTAGTGTCAAATATGTCAAATTTTAAAAATAATTATCTGTTTGTTTGTGCAGTTTGTTTTCTTATTTATCAAAAATGAAAGAGAATCAAAACTATATATTTTAAAATGTTCAATCTTGAGATATAACAAGAAATAAATAGATAAATAGCCACCCGCGGATGTGACAGCTGATAGGTTGACGCGTACCGTACAGGGGCGAGTTCAGAAATAACACACCGGGTGTGAGTGCGATTTTATGGGTGTGACTGAAATGACAATTCTTAGGCGACAACTTCCGTATGAATTTCTGAACGCTTGGTGTGACCAATCGAGCATCTCCTCAAAAATTTCACCAAATCTATTAAGATTTCTTTTTTTTGTTGTTAATTTTTTTAATCTGAAGAAAAAACTTTAATTCTTATTTGTGTTTTGTTTATATTCGGTGGGATTATTGAGATTATGGGAGGAATAGTTGACATTGTTGACATAAAGACACAATCACACCGCAGCCACACCAAAAAATTATGGTGTGACCGGTGCGACACCTGGAGCGCGCCCGAAGTACTTTCTGAACGGCACAGAGTGTGCGCACTCGGTGTGCCTATAGCATTTATGAACGGCTAGTGTGTCGCACCGGTGTCACACTCACACTGAGTGTGTCATTTCTGAACTCGCCCCAGCTCGGGGGCTCAACGCCCCGAGTAGACATTGCTGTCAGTCAAATTTCGTTTACGAAATGTACTCGAATGGTTTCGAAAATCGCACCCTAGCTCCGGGCGTCACACTCCCATACTGAGGTGCATTCCAGTGACCCATTTGAGTTACTCCTGAGCAGCTCAGGAGTGCTCCACAATTGCTTGGCGCGTTCCAGTGATTAGAGTGTCGTACACTTGAGCTACTCATTTGACATTTCTGTTATCCCCTGCCCCCTCGTGCACCAACCCTTTTGTCTGTGTTTCATGCTCCTGAAATCCGAAATAGTGGGGGTTGAGACGAGAGCGTTCCAGTGCTGCTTATGTCGAACAGTTCAAGAGCGTCACACTTCAGGAGCATGATACTCTAACACTCTAACAATTTAGGCACTGGAAAGCGGCTCTGGAAAGCGGCTGAGGTAATCGGGATTGTTTCTGACAGGTTGCAAACTGTCACAGAACCAAACAAAAAAGAAGCAGGAAGGTTATGTTTATGCATGTTTATGTTTTTGGTTTTTGTTTTGTTGTATATTTTATGTGTTATGTGAAAATTATATATTTGTTTCTGACTTCAAATTCAGTTATGTGTGATGAAAGTAAGTAACCTACGGAAGCCTAGAAGTGCCACCCGAATTTGGATTTGATAATTCTGAAAAATAAGTCAGAATTCTGAGTAATTCTGACATATGAGTCAGAATCCTGAGATATATCTTAGTCAGAATTCGGAGATGTAAGCAGAATTCTGAGTTATAAGTCAGAACTTAAGATAAGAGTCAAAATTATGAAATCAGTGAACCATACCCTATACCTACTATACTTTGAGTGGTTGCAATTCGCTTAGTGAGATCGTCTTCATTTGTTTTGGAAAATTCTTACACATATTGAAAATGTGCCTCCGAAGCTAGTTCGACGTCAAAGCCTAGGCGTTCGTAACTTTAAACTGCCCTAACTCAAAAACAATTCATCTTAGCAAGATGCGGTTTAAATAATTATTCTTAAATTTTTTTGCACTAAAACTTTCATTTTCGGGTCACACTGGCCACTGCCTTTAAGCATGCAAAGTTGACACAGTGGTAGCAGGCAGCCGCAGCATCACACCATTTACAGCCGGGAGACATTTGTCATACACTCATCCAATGTTGTCCCAAGACTCCCAAGTATCGAATCCAAAACGGGTGAGCACACATGTCATACGCGTTTCTGGCTTCTTTCTGATTTCCAGCTCCAGCTTCACATGTGCGCGAACATGGATTTTGAGCATATCTCGAGGCATATCTGCATATAAGAGACATATTAATATGTCTCTATCTATAGTCCGTCGTTTTTAATCTGATACTCCAAAGGACTGTAAGCTGGTAGCTCCCTACGTTAGAACCCCAATGGTCACCTGACCTCACACCTGTTTTTTGCATATGCTTCACCCCTCTCTTCTATTGTATCTTATAACTTATTAACCACTAGCTTGCTCGCAAGCAGAGAAGAATAGCAGAGTATGGAAAAGCGGAGACAGGATTCAAAGCAAAATATATTTGTCTCTTTTTTTCATCACCAACGAACGAATCGGAGGCTCCTCCCTCCTCAGGAATTTGGCGCCTGGAACGCTTGCTCCATGCGCCCTTTATGGTAGCTCCGGCCTTGCCAAAAACCTGAGGGGTTCTGAAACACTGTTGGGGTTGGGCCTGCATCTCACGTTTGGTTATTGTGGAATCCTTAGTAACTCTGTCTCTTATTTCAGAATTCTGAGTTAGGTATAACTGAAAATTCTGACTTATAACTCAGAATTCTGATTTATATCTCAGGATTCTGACTCATATGTCAGAATTACCAAACCCAAATTTGGGTGGCAGACAATTCCCATTTTCACTAATTCCGATGAGAGTGAGTTTCAAGTATGGAACGTCTAGATTATCTCGAAAACGACTTGCACGACTTTTATGAATTTTGGTTTGAAAGAGTATTGTAATATGGCCCATAATATGATATTTGATATGGTATTTACATGGTTGTCAGATCTTTCATTTTTCGGGAAATATCAGAAACTTTGTTTTTTCAAATGGATCACCCTGTATATTATGACATTTATGGATTCTGCAGCAAATTCTAGGCCTATTTCATGTATGTATGTATAATGTTCTATAGTTCTATATTCGACTATTTTGGGAATATTGACAGTTGTAAATTGACTTTTTTACAGCTATGACAGGCTGTGATACCCAATTGGCCAATTTTACAGCGAAACTGATTTTACATTCTTGTCTGTAGCTTTTCATGAGCTATCATTTGACACCAACTATGAATTTAACCGGAGATTAAATCCAACCGGACTTTTTAATCCTGGATTAAATTCAAAGTTGGTGTCGAATGATAATTGATAATGAGTTGATGGAAAACTAAGATAGGAATTACTGTGATACAGATACAAATGATAACTTATATGTAGGTCATGTAAACATAAGATCGCTTACTCCTTCTTTCTCTGATGTGTCTGCAATGTTACAGCATGAAAAATTTCATTTATTTGGTGTAACTGAATCATGGCTAACATCAACATACCCTGACAATCTGGTCAGTATCCCTAAGTATAACTTATATAGGGCAGACAGAGAGTCGAGGGGTGGTGGTGTATGTTTGTATGTTGCTGACTGTTTAAAATGTGTCATGCTAAAAGGGAATGAAAATGGTGCTAAAAACTGTGACAATAAAGTTGAACAACTATGGGTGGATATCAACTATAAAAGTCTTTTTTAGTTGGTACTTTGTATAAACCCCCACTGGTCAACTATAACTACCTATCTAGTTTAGAGAATATTTTATCTAGCTTGTCCTCATCATATGACTACACAATTTTAATGGGTGATTTAAATATAAACTTTCTTACTAAAACTGCTGACTCTGATTATATGGAATCAGTATTAGAAATTTATAATTTGAAACGAGTCATCTCTGAACCCACTAGAATAAGTAGAAATAGTGCAACTCTAATTGATATTATTTGTGTCAATAAGGGTGTCAGTGTTATTGAGTCAGGAACATTGGGCATGCTTAACCTAACTGATCATAGACTTGTGTACTCTTCAATTAGCATCAAAGCTCCCAAAATAGATGATAAGGTTATATCTTATAGAGATTTAAAGCACTTTGATAGGAGGCAATTTGAATTAGAGATACAGGACATAAATTATGAATTTATTTTGGGCCATGAAATGTTGGATGACAAGGTAGCTTGTTTCAGTAACGAGCTGGCTGGCATCTTCAATAAACATGCCCCAACAAAAAAAGCAGTTATTAAAAAAAAGTATAAACCTTACATTACTGACACTATTAGGCAAATTATTAAATTAAAGAAAACAGCATTCAATAAATTTAAAAAAACTGGTCAAATTGAACACAAGCACTTTTATCTGGACATTAAAAACTATCTTTCTTTTGCAATTAGAAGTGAAAAGAAAGCATACATGTCATTTGAACTTCATAAACATAAAAAAGATACAAAGAAAATTTGGAATAGGATCAATGATTGGAATATCAAGGTTAATAAAAACAGTGAAATACCTATTCATTTGAAAGATGTGGACCAAATCAGTAACTCTTTTGCGAGTGTATGTCAATTAGCTACTCCGATAGACAATTTACTAATGAATTTTTATCAGGGCAATAGGCTGGAGAGCCTTAACAATGGTGAGCTTATTTTTAAAAATATTTCAGAATATGATATTTATAAGGCATTTAAAAGAATTAAATCTAAAAGTATGGGTATAGACCAAATAAGTTACAATCTTGTTCTTTTTAGCATTGATTGTATTGCTCCGTTTCTAGCTAAGCTATTCAATATATCCTTACAAATGGGGGAATTTCCAAAAATGTGGAAGAGCGCCATTGTTAAGCCTTTGCCAAAGAAAAATAAAATAGAAAATTTTTCTGAACTAAGGCCAATCTGTCTTTTACCAATATTTGCCAAAATGTTCGAAGTACTAGTGTCTGATATGCTGCTTGAATTTGTAAATACCAATAATATTATACCAGCTGTGCAGTCTGGCTTTAGGAAAAATCATGGAACTGCTACCGCCCTTACAAAAGTGTCTTCTGAAGTATCAACTAATATTGACTCATCAAGGGTTTCTTGTCTAGCACTGCTAGACTATAGTAAGGCTTTCGATCTTATACATCACGACATGCTTGTGGCTAAAATGAGGTTCTATGGTTTTTCAGAGGCTGTCTGCAAATGGTTCAAGAACTACCTTCTACTTAGAACACAGGTGGTTGAGCTTGATGGAGCAAGATCTGAGCCTGTTACAACTGGTTATGGAGTCCCTCAGGGAAGTGTACTTGGGCCATTATTATTTAGCATTTATACTAGCGATCTTCCAAAGCAGGTTCGGTTTTGCTCCATCAATCTCTATGCCGATGACACGCAGCTCCTGTTAGGTTTTGCTCCTCAGGATGCCTGTGTGTGTATGCAGAGAATAAATGACGACTTAGACTCGATATTTATATGGTCAAGTCAACATGGGTTAGTTCTAAATGCTAGTAAGAGCACATATATGATTATGGGCTCTAATGCCGGCAGAAGTCAATTTTTGCGTTTTAATTTCACTACATTGCACATAAACGGTACTACTCTACCTAACTCAGAATCAGCAAGAAATCTGGGTGTGACTTTCGACGAAAGTCTTAACTTTCAGGTGCACGTCAACAGAAAATTGTCATGTGTTTATGCTGTACTTAAGAGTTTGTACCCGTTTAAGGATAATTTACCTCGCAACATTAAATTGATGTTAGTGGAGACTCTTATTTGGTCACAGTTGGACTATTGCAATGTTGTCTTCTATAACTAGCTGAATGTTGAATTTAAAAACAAAATTCAGTTAGCTCAAAATGCTTGTATGAGATTTATTTTTAGCATTACAAAATTTGACCATATTACGCCAACCTATGTAGAAAATAAGATACTAAAATATGAACAGCGAGCAGCCTTGCACTTTGGTCAATTCGTTTATAAAATTTTTCAATCTGGCTACCCATCCTATCTCTCAGAATATCTTATAGTAAGACAAGACCTACACAGTCGCTGTCTGAGAAACATTATACGATTTCAAATACCACGGCACATAACCGAAGGTTTTAAAAACTCATTTTCTTACCGAGCGGTACAACTACTTAATACAGAGGTGTATGAATTTATGATTTCAGGTTCACTGGTAAACTTTAAAAAGAAGTACAAGGCTTCTCTGCTGGAATTAATAGCGTAGCTTAGAATAGGCATTGAATTCTGTATTTATTTATTTATTTATTTTTTCGGGTAGCATGGAAGAACACATTACGTGAATGTTACCTTTTATGTAATTTCTTTTGATGCATAATAAACGTTTTTCTACTGACATTTCATAATACGTTATTAAGCGATTAAAATCTGTATCATAATGAACTTCATTATGATACAGATTTTCATTATAATACAGATTTTTAATATTATACAATGTCGATAGATGGCACCACCAGTTAAGATATTAAACATTTTAAACGGTAATTTTGCGTAAAACAATTATTTTAATAACTATAAAAAAAGACTTAGAATTGTTTAAAAGTTATCTAAAGTTTGGGACAAAGAATAATTATTATGGAAATAATGAGTGATAAGGAAGAATTTTTACTTTTTTCATCATTATACATTGTCAATAGATGGCGCCACCAGTCAAGAAATTTTGAATTAATTTTTTTTTTGAAAGTTGACAGCACTTTGTTTATAGTTTTTCCATGGTAATTTAGCGAAAAACAATAATTTTATCACAAAAAATACTTCAAATTGTTATTAAAAGTTACCTAAAGTTTGGGATGGGGCATTATTATGGAAATGAGTGATAACGAAGAATTTTCACTGACACCTCCAGAAATTACATTAAGGGCGACAAATGCAGGAGAGTCCAAGAAAATTTACCAAAAATTATATGGACAATTTATGGATTGGTGAAACACCAAAAACACATCGTCCTTCTCAGAAAATGTTTTGATAGTATATTTTGAAGAATTACAACAAAAAATGAAACCTTCAACTGTATGGACGCATTACTCAATTATAAAATCTCTATTCAAAGTTTAGCATAATGTTGACATATCTAAATATCATAAGTTTTATCAATGGCAGTAGAAAAAATAGTGTATGCAACTCTCATGTAATGGCCATTAATACACTCGCATGTTATATACGAAACTCGCCTGCGGCTCGTTTCGTATCCTACAACATACTCGTGTATTAATGGCTATCATTACATGATCATTGCATAATATACTATTTTTATTATTATTATTATTATTATTATTATTATTATTATTATTATTATTATTATTATATGATCGGTTTTGCTGTAAAATCAATCGTTTAGATTTTACAGTCGGTCAAAGTTGCGAAGAAGTCTATTTTGTCAATAATTCCAAAACAGTTGGAGATAGGTAATGTTTGTTTCACGATGGTTTGTACTTTTGACATCATTTTCCTTCTTTTTTTAACAAAAAAAAATTGACTGAAATAAATTGATTTTTTTCAGTTAAATTTTATTTGTTAAAAACGGAAGGCAAATATGTCAAAAGTACAAACCCTCGTGAAACAAAGAGTACTTATATGACATTGTACAGTCGTGAGCATAAAAAATGGGACACCCGAATTTACCTATTGTAAAACGGGCTCACCGTCTACACCGTCGGCAATGACAGGGATCGTCATATTTGACAAAAAATCCATTGTACAGGGTGCTGCAATTTGGAGTGTTTTAACAGGAAAAACATACTCCCAGACCAGATAGAGGAAAATTGACTTAGATGTCATGGGATCGATTTTCGAGAAACGTCGATTATCAAAAACCGTATCGCGATATCTTCAATGGTACCATTAATACAGGGCGATTTTCGATTTTCTCCTACTATGAAAAATGGCTATAAGTTTTTTGTTTATCAATTTTTGAAGTGAATACTTTGGCCGCATGAGAGTGATTTTTCAAGGTCGCGTCATGATACGATTTATAAAATTTTCGTCTCGCAAGTGAGATGAAGCCTATGATGAATATGAGGGAGAGAGAGAGAAAGAGATGGTGAATGAAAGAGAGTATTGTTCTTAACGCATTAATGTAATATGTACAATACATCTCTCTCTCCCTCTCTCTCTCTCTTTCTCTCTCTCACTCACTCACTCACTCAGTCACTCACTGACTCACCCTCAACGAATCGATAAATAAGTATTCACTTCTATCACGTGTACTGTGCTACATGCGACTTTTTTTTTATTTCAGTGAAAACATCTTCGGGATACTTTTTTGAGCACAATCCAGTGGCGTACTCAGTTTTTTTCTATTTCGCTACCATTTCGAGATATTGACCAAAGTTCGATTTTTTTAAATAGGACACCGTATATATTAATAGCTCATCGGATAGCTCTGCTTTTGCTGATTTCAATGATATCGGGTCTTCAAAAAAAAAAAACAATCAAAGATTGCTTTGATTACGAAAACGTACGTCGAATTATTGTTTGTTTATTGGTCAGGATTTTTAACATGACATTTTGACATTTAAGTTCATTGACAAAATTGAAGGAAAATATTGCTAAGACATACGTTTAAAAAACCATAGCAATCTTTGATTGGTTTTTTTTTTGAAGACCCGATATAAAGTTCGATAGGTTTATCTCTAACAGTTTTCGAGAACAAAAATTATATCTGTTTCAGTCATAAGAAACAATGTGTTAGAAAGAGACCTTCCTCATTTTCCTTACACATATAAAGTCCTTTTCTAACACATTGGTCCTTACGACAAAAACGGATAATAATAAATAATAATAATAAATTCGTTTATTTCCAATAATAGTATATTATATACCTAGGTAGAGAAGTTGGTCCTTATATACCGAGCGCTTTTATAAACCGAGGCGCTCGCGCCGAGGTTTATAATGAGTGAGGTATATAATGACTTTCTCTACCGAGGAATATATAGAATTTTTTTTACTACTGCTAGTAGAAAATGAAAAAATTGTTTAAAATCTGTGCTCCAATTATTTTTTTTGAACGCCCTCTTGAAAGTGCTGCCCTCTATCAACAGCTTATGATAACTTCCTATGTACCTACAGAAACCTGTATTTTTTTTCAAATTGACGTATGGAAATGAAATTGAACCAATAGAAACATGACAATATCCTTGTGTCATGACGTCATTTTCATTATTAACCTAGGTATTTTTTCATTATTTTCATTATTAACCTAGGGAGAGAAATTCAATTTTTTCTTAGAAAAATAGATTGAACCATATTTACATGTTGTAGGAAATGTTGATAGGTAATACTATTTCAAGAAAGTTTGTTAATTATACGAATTAAAAAACACTATTGAAGATCAAACAGGTGAGTATCGGCAATAACAAAATTCAAAATATTAGGGCATTCCAATAATAGCATTAAGTAGGTACACAAAATAGGCATAAAAAAGTGATTTTTAGGACATTACATTTTAACAAATCATTGAGTAAAGCCCACCACCTACCATTAAATTAACTATACAAAGAAAAAGCGAGAAAGTATGTATAATAATAGAGCAAAAATTATAGATAGGTTGTAGAGAGAAGAATATACCAAATTTATATTTATCTACGATTATCAACAACTTAATAACTAAGATTATCAGTTAAGAATTCCTCTACAGTATAGTAAGCTTTAGATATCAATAATTTTTTCAGTTTATTTATAAACTTGTTCAAGGAGAGTTCTTTATACTGATTCGGAAGTGTATTGTAAAGCTTACCACACATATAGAAAGAATTTTTTTGATATGCTGCTGTTGAATGTCTCTCCAGGCTTATAGTATTTTTGGCCTGTCTGGTATTTGATTCAAAAAACGTGAATTTATGTTTGTTCTGATGTACGAATTTCGTGCAAGCAAAAATATACAAGGAGGGCAAGGTTAAAATATTTAACTGTATAAATCTGGGTTTGCAGGTCTCAGTAGGTTTCATTCTTAACATTGTTCGAATGGCCCGCTTCTGAATGATAAATGTTGATTCACTAGCGCTTGCATTACCCCACAACATGATACCATAACCCAGCACTGAATGAAATTTGGCATAGTAAACTGTTTTTAACAAATCGAGATCCAACCCTTTAGCTGACAACACTTTAAGACAATAGCACGATCTACTTAGTTTTCGATTTTGTGTTTCAATGTGCATAGACCATTTAATATGATCGTCAATGTAAAAACCCAAGCATTTTGTAGAGTTAACAAACTGAATAGAGTTTGAGTTATGGATGACATCAGCAGTCTTTCTGTTAGACAAGCTAAATCTAATAGCTACGGTTTTATCTATGTTTATTTTGATTTGGTTGTAGGAACACCAATCCGTTACATCGTTGATTATGCTTTGGGTCCTCCTCTCTGCTACAACCTGATTGTCCGCGACTGCCAAAAAGAACGTGTCATCCGCGAACATCATGCACTTACTAGAACGAACACACAGCGGTAAATCGTTTATGTATATTATAAAGAGAAGGGGACCCAAAACAGAACCCTGAGGGACTCCGCTGACCAGTACGCCTTCTCGAGAGACCTGAGGTGAATCCCCAGTACCGTCCTTCAAGACTGTCACCTGCCTTCTGCCTGTTAGATAGCTACTGAACCAGATATAATTTTTTTTTCTCGAAAACTGCTAGAGATAAACCTATCCAACTTTATACCATTGAAATCAGCAAAAACAGAGCTATCCAATGAGCTATTTATTAATATATAGGGTGTTACATTTGAAAATATCGGACTTTGGTCGATATCTGGAAATCGGAGCGAAATAGAAAACAATTGAGTCCGCCACTGGATTGTGCTCAAAAAAGTGTCTCCATAATGCTTTACAGATACAAAAAAATTGATAAATAAAAAACTTATAGCTATTTTTCATAATAGGGGAAAATCGCCCTGTATCAATGGTACCATTGAAGATATCGTGATACGGTTTTTGACAATCGCCGTTTCTCGAAAATGGATCCCATGACGTATAGGTCAATTTTCCTCTATCTGGTCTGGAAGTATGTTTTTCCTGTTGAAACATTCCAAATTGCAGCACCCTGTACAGAAAAGACTGATTTAACCAAAATAGCGAAAAATGACAAGACCTGTCAGTCGGGTGTCCCACTTTTTGTGCTCACGACTGTACATGAAATATGTCTAAATTTTCCGCAAAACCCAAAAATGTCATAATATACCGGGTGATCCATTTCAAAAAAAAAAGTTTCTGATATTTCCCGAAAAATGACAATCATGTAAATACTACCATATTATCGGCCATATTACAATACTCTTTCAAATCGAAATTCATAAAAATCGTGCAAGCCGTTTCCCAGATAATTGAGATGTTCCATACTCACTCTGTATGTATAGAACCCATCAACTAAAACATAAGATTAGATGTATTCGAGGATGTATTGCAATTGATAGAGTAGTACAAATGCAAATCTTATTTTTTTCAGTTCTGCACCTAAACCAAAACCCCAAAAAATGTCCAAATCTGGAAAAGGAGGAACAGTTGGTTACGTTGTACCCCTAGGGTTTAGTGAGGGAGAACGATTTTCCAGTTTTGAAGAATTCAATACCAGATTCAAAGAGGCATGTCAAGCCAATAATGTCGGTTTTTTCAAAAGGAGCGTTCAAACCATTGAAGCAGCCAAGCGTAAAGTCAATCACAGCTTTAGGCCAGAGTTGAAATATTACTATGTGAGATATAAATGCGTTTTCTCACGCGTATTAGCTGGAAAAGGACAGACACCGTAATTATTTGAAATATGGATCATTATGACTTCAATTTTTTTTTTTTATTTCAGATCAATGACTAAAAAAGTTCTTACTGCTTGTCCAGCCGCAATATCAATACACCTAAGAACCACCGACGTTGATCAATTTCTTCAAGTAGTCAATGTAGAATGGTTTCATAATCATCCTGTGAGCAAAAAAGCCGAAGATACAGATAGTGATATTGATAACATTATTGAAGGATCTCCAGAATACGAAAATTATAGAGCAGTTTTAGCAAAAGGTGAACGTATTGCAAAGCTGGCTGCTGTCAGCGACAATAAACGATTTCAAGAAATTCTTAAAAATCTTGACGATTTAATTTTCTATTTGAAATGCTTCGAAAATGAGGATGAAGAAAATTTGGAACTCACCAAAAATAATACAGGAGAACTTAGAACTTATTGAACTTGAAAGTGAATAAAAATATTTGCATGAGAGCTGACTAAGTTTGTTATGTGTGAGCAGTGCGATTGTTACGAAAGATTCAATACTGCCAAATATATGTGTTAAGTAACCAACGAACCTTTATTAACTATTGTTCAAAATTACATACAGGGTGATTTACGAGAATAGCTTGCAGGTGGACTAGTTGCTATCTCTAGCACTTCATAAGTCCCTAACAACCTTAAATAAATAGATGAGTCACCTCTTTACAACAAAATGTATTAAGAAACGCTGAATATAAACACAAATGCAGCCATTTGTCTATCATCATCTAACAAACTGTAGGCAAGGATCTCTTGAATTTCAATAAACTTACACCTGGACCTGTTACCTGTTACAATTACCTCACCATTGCCTATTCTGCGTCGAGAAACACTGGAGTAGTGCTGGTTTGAATCTTAAAGTTGAACATTTTTAATAACTTGGGACAGCTAATCAGCTGATAATCTTTTTTCATCATACTGTACAGGGTGATCTATTATAAATGTCACCACCTGCTAGCTTTTTCATTTGACGTTTTTGACAGAAGTGTCAAATACAAAAGTTTAGGAAATTGTCAAAACTTTTTAACGTCAGCTTTAGTTCTTCAATCGGTCGAGCTTAGCTTCGATAGCTCGAGCAGTCGTACCGGACGGTCGTGTTAGCCAGCTCCGAGAGTATTGCAAATTTGATTTGATTTGTTTTGAATTGATTTGTTTTGTTTTGCATCACATCGTTATGTTCGTTTTCGTTGTGCGTGTATTTTTGTAAACTTGGCCTAATTACCTTGCCATTGATCCAGTTCTTCAAAGTTCAAAGTTTAATGCAAAATTTGTGTTTGTTTATGTTGCATTTACAGAAACTAAAAGAGAGAACAAAAATAAAAATGGAAAGTTTTTGTTCAAAATGTTTTAAAAGTTGCGTGCATAAGGCCCATCCAGCTGAAAATGAATTATTTGGAGCAACATATTGTGATTCTTGTTAGTTACTTTATTGTAAAAGCTGTGCAGAACTTAAAACAACTGAAGCTCACACATTAGCCCTCAGTGAAAGAGTCTAATTATTTTACTGTCAATCTTGTAAAGATGAATTTAGAAATATGTGTTTTAATGAGGAAAAATTGGAGAAGCTATTTAACGAAAACAAAAGACTAAATGAAGTAATAGAGCTTCTGGAGAGTGAAAATGAAGATTCCGTCGCAAAACTAAAAAAGCAGATTACTGAATTAAACAAAGTTATTATTGCGAAAGATGATATACTTCAACGAGAGAGAAGGAAAACAATAGACTTTCAGGACGATGTTTTTTCTGCAGAAAATTCACTGGAAGAAAAAATCAAGAGACAAGAAAAAATTATTAGAACTTTGGAAAGGGAAATTGGTGGCACAAAGAACGATATTACTATGCATCAAAAAAAATATGAAGAAGTTCTGGTAAAAAATAAAAGTTTGGATAAAAAAATCGAAAAGATTAGGCTATCTAGTGAATCTGACACCAAACGTATTGATGAACTGATACAGAGGAACGAGAATTTGCAGCAGATAATATTGGACGAAGATAAGAAACGTGATAAACTGGTAAAAGAGCTAGATGATTTGAAGTCAATGAGAAATCAAATGCTTTCAACAAGTAGTACACAGTACACTTGAGAATGATAATGATTATATGCCAGTGAGAATAAAAACATGAATAAAGAAATATTCCAGTTTAAGCAGCGTAAAGTTTCGAAAAAGGATGATCAAAAAAGTCAATCAGATGGTAATTGCTGACACAACTGCTATGAATTCGCTTGTTGATTTCAAAAAGGTTAAAAATTCTAAGAATAAAGTTGTTATTTCAACTGATGTTATATGATGCTATAGACAAATCAATGGAGGACAACTAAGTAACTCAGCTGGTAAAAGAACCTTATACTACAATAAAGGATAATATACATAGTTCAGACTGTTATGTGGAGGATTTGACTGAGAAGGACTATGTTGTTTTGATAGCAGGACTTAACGACACTGATATCCGAAAAGATCACAAATATTGCTATTAAATAAGTGTTTTAGAACGAATTTAATAGTCTGCAACCTCCTATATAAGAATAACTACGGCAAGAAACGTTTGTATGTTAGAAATGTAAATCAAAAACTTAGGGAAGTTGCCCAAAAACTACAAATTTTCTCTATTGTAATGTCCTAGTTTTAGCCAGCCAAATAAAAGAGTCAAACCAGTTTTATTGCAATTTTATTGTCTTCGATTGATTAGGTGACATGATCGATGTTGTTGCTTAGGTTGCTGTTGCAGAAAAGAGGGATTTTGGGTTCCTTCACAAAGTAGTCTCTAGTATGCGCATGTGCACAACATATCAATAATAATTAGGGGCGGTATATTCAATATTTTGTGTACTTGCAACACTCCCTCACTTAAACTTTTGTAAGACCCTCCGAAAATATTTTCATGTAAGACAACGATCAATCAAATGAATTTTCAAATCTACTATCACTTATTAAAAGTGTAATTAGTTTAAATGAGCATTGGTGATCGTTGTAATTATTTCAACATTTAAAAGGTCTCATTCAAAACTGATTAGAATTAACAAATATGTATTTGTCAAAAACAGAGAGGTAATTTTTGCAACGGCATTTGTTTAAGCTAACTTATGTTTAAAATAACAAACAATATATAAAAAGCAAATACATAGTCAAACAATTTACAACATTGAAATAACTAATGTAAAATCTATATTACATATTAGTTAACAGAGGCAACTAACTATATTACATAATACTTGGTCAAACGTGAGTTATAAGGAGAAAAAAAGGCAGACAAGCATGCAAACAAATGACTGGTTAAAGCTTAGTTATTTGCCTTTCAGATATTATTGGTGTAGCATTACTCATGGAAATTTGGCAGGTTGACCCTCGTATAATAATGACAGTATATCAAATTCCAGACAGTTTTAAGTGTGTTTCACATAATTGTGTCGCAGCAAATCGTGTCGCAGTATTAAAATTCTCTGGCCTATCTGGCCAATCATATTTGACACATTTGTCAATATATTTTTCAATTAGGCAATTGACCTTTTGTTTGGACGCCATATTGCGGTGCGCGAACATAGTTGCCAACAGTAGGAAAAAAAATACTAGCGTTCTGTCAACTTTAAAATTCAAAGTTAGTGAATAAATTACATTTAAAATTTAAATTTACCGCCTATTACGAATGTTTTTGGAAAGAAAAGCCATCAATTTTAGCTTGTATTGGGCAGAATAGAAATAATAAAATATCTAGTTGACAGCCCGCTAATAATTTTTGGTTTTCTTGTTTTGGCAACTATGTTCGCGCACCCCAATATGGCGTCCAAACAAAAGGTCAATTGACCTCATTGACCTTTTGTTTGGACGCCATATTGCGGTGCGCGAACATGGTTGCCAACAGTAGAAAAAAAAATTACTAGCGTTCTGTCAACTTTAAAATCCAAAGTTAGTGAATAAATAACATTTAAAATTTAAATTTACCGCCTATTATGAATGTTTTTGGAAAGAAAAGCCATCAATTTCAGCTTGTATTGGGCAGAATAGAAATAATAAAATATCTAGTTGACAGCCCGCTAGTAATTTTTGGTTTTCTTGTTTTGGCAACTATGTTCGCGCACCGCAATATGGCGTCGAAACAAAAGGTCAATTCAAACCACGTGACATTCAAGATGGCGTGGCGGCCACACATGGGCCAAAAAACATAAATAAATATGTAGTTTCTGCCGGAATTAATAGTTTAGGTACCTAGTCAACAAATATTTTATTAAATAATGAAAATCAAAGTTATAAGCAAAACTGTATGCAATATAATTTAAAATACGCATAAAAACATATCCAAAACAAACTTGCTTGGCCGCCACGCCACATTGAATTTTCCTTTTTGACAGATGGATTGAATTGCCTAATAGTGTAATATACAGAGTGTCAATTTGAAAACTTCCCACCCCTATTATCTCGGAGGAAAAAAATTTTCGAAAAAATCCCTGAAACGCGTCAACTGTAATTTGAGGGGGGATGAGTTTTTATGCAAAATTCATCTTCCCTATTTCAACCCCCTAACCCCCAGAGTCACCCCCTCAGTGGCGTAGCCAGTAGGGGGCAGGGGGGGCGACGGCCCCCCCCCCGCCCCTACACGTATGGCGCCCCTACTGCTCCAATGACCTATTAACACAGATAGACAGAACATCCCATTGATAAAATAGCTTTGTTTTGGTTGACTACATGTTTATGTGCCAGGGGGGGTGAGCTGTGAAAGCGGCTAGGAGTAGGGATTCAAATGATTCCGCTAACTCCGTCCCCATTTTACTATCGCATACTTGACAACTCTGAAAATGAAACCAGAATTAGTGCTACAAAAGTGTAACTTTATCCTTATATTTCACATAATTTTAGAAAAAGATGCGGATACACTCACTGCGCACTGATTGACAAATGGAAATTGTCATAAAATACCTGCTCGTCGCATTTTGACATGACAATTGAATAGAAGCCGCTGATTGGTGGAAAAGTGGAATTCGAGGTGGGATTTATTTTTTTGCAGCGTTGCTAATTTTCATTGAAAAATAATCGCTTTCCACGTGTTAGAGAAAGATACAAAATAACACAAGGATTAATAAGTAGTGGGGAGAGATGCGGTTCCTGGCATGTAGTCAACCGATATTATTGTTTATTGTTCTGTCTATCTGTGTTAATCAGTGGCGGCTCGTATAATAAAAATGTGGGGGTTGCAATTTCAATGGTACAATCCGGAAAAAAAAATAGGAGGGGGGGGGGGATCGAATATCTATATACAAAGAGGAGTTGATTAAAAATTATTTATCATATAAGGATGAATAGGTACTCACATAACCAACTTTATTAATCAAGCTACTTAATTTACACAAGATGAACACCTAATATTGAGACTCAGGTTGGAGTTACCCAATTCCTTAATTTCTTATATTTGTCCTTAATCCTTAATTCTTAAAAAGTTCAATGTATTCAACATTGGTATTTTTAATGATTTAGAATTAAGAACAAAAATTAAGAATTATTAAGGAATTGGATAACCCTGGCCTTATTTAAAGAGAAAATCCATACGCCGATCTTTAGCCGCAGCAAACTTATCAATAACCCGCTGATTGAAATCGGGTATGCTTTCAATAAGGTCCTTTTCTTTAGACAGCATTGCCAAAGCAGAAAGTCTTTCTTGGCTCATGGTATTTCTTAAAAACGTTTTTATCCGTTTGAGAGTTGAGAAGCACCGCTCTGCTTCAGCTGACGCCATAGGAATTGTAATTAAAATTTTTAAGAGTTTTAGAGTTTCACTGAAAGTTTCACTTAGCTCGGTATTTTGAGAAATAAAGTCATAAATTGGAAGGAGTCCGGAAATTGATTTAAATTCTTCCGTATCGTAAATAACGGCCAATTCTGTACGGAGTTTTTGCTCAATGAAAAATGGGTAATTTTTTATTGCCTCTTTAAATTTCTGTTCAGGAAAACAGATACTGTATTGGTTGTATTGTTCCGGAAGAAAAAGATTGGCAGCCACTAAGTGGCCTGTGAAGTTAAATCGTTCTTTCGCTTGACATATAATAATATCACAAACTTCTTTTGCTTCTCGATAAAATTCCGCAGAGTCATCCAGGTTACGCCGTCTTGAAGTAGATGGAGATGGCTCAACTTCGTCCAAAGTGATGCTATTTCTAATTTCCGTCAACTTAGATTCAAAAGATAACATATATTTTGTTGCGGTAACAGCGTCAATTTGTACTGTTTGAAACTTGGCAAATAACAAGTCAACATGCGGCATGATCTTGTAAAATAAGTTTAGCCAGAAGACAAAACTTTTGCTTTTAAGAATTTTAACATAGCCTGCTGCTTGATTGGTAGTATTAACGTTTCTAGTTTCATTTAAACATTTTTCCATTGTCTCCAAAATGGCGTCTTTGTACTCAAAAACGGTACAAACAACTCTGGAATTAAAATTCCATCTGGTTGGGGCTGAACGTGGTAATCGTTTTTTAACAATTTGGTCTAGTATTGAGGATCTCTGAGGACTGGTTGAAAAAAAAGTACAAATTCCTTGTAAATTGGCAAAAAAAATTCGGACATTCTTGTTTGCAGAAGCAGCGTTCAACATCACCAAATTTAACTGATGTGCATAACAATGCACGTAGGCAGCGTGTTGATAGGTTTTTTTAATAATTGCTTGCACCCCGTTAGACGACCCGCTCATAACTGATGCACCATCATACGTTTGCGCAATAAGTTTGCTTTTGTTATCTTTTACGTGCTTCTCAATTTCTCCGAGAATAACCAAAGACAATGTTTTGGCGTCATGATCTGAAGGCATTAGAAAATCCCAAAATCGTTCAACTGGCTTGCCTTTTACAATGTATCTGAAAACAACTACCATTTGGAATATAGTTGATACGTCACTAGTTTCATCAGCTATTATAGACAAATAATCGGCTTGCTCGATCTCTTTGGAAATTTCCTCTTGGCATACGTTAAACATTGTTTGTAAAATTTCGTTTTGGATGGTTTTCGACGTACCTTTAAATACCGATGCCTTTTCTAGATGTTGTTTCAAAGCACCGTCTAACTCAGCACTGAAATCAATTAGTCCTCGAAAAACTCCAGGATTAGGGGAAGACGTAGACTCGTCGTGTCCTCTTAACGCGAGTTCGAAAGCTCCACAGAAACGCACACAATTTATTATAATGTTTAAAATGTATCGATTATGTCTCACTTGTTCATTGTGCAATTCAATATTTCGTCGATAGGCGGTACTTAATTGAGCAGCTATGTTTACGGTTCCAAAAAGTGATAATTGTAAAACATTTTTCATGTGCTTCGCTGACGACGTATGCTTTTTAATGCGGTCTCCTGAATGATTTAAATCGGTAAACCCAGTTTTTGTCCAGGAAACTTCGCCTCCAAATAGCAAACAAGGGAAACAGAAGAGAGCATTTTTAATTTCACAGCCACAAAGCCATGCATATTTTTCGTAAAGGTCTGGATTAAATGTTCTGGTGAAAGTCCTTTTTTTGCTGGTTACAGTTTGTTCGATTTTTAAATTTGGAGTAGGCCTTCCAAGTCTTTTTATTTCAGCCTTATCGGTTGATGAACGACCACAGAATGGTTCGGCAATTAAATTTTGAACAGAATTCATTTTTTTTCCACCCACCACACCACACGACAAAACTTCATAAAACAAACCTAATCTGCGCTGCGAGCAAAAAAAAATGAACAAAGTTTGCACGTCGCTTGCAACCTGCATGAGCCTATGGAGCGGATTTG